GAGTGCATGATGGTAAGAGAGCAGAACACGAGAAATCATTTCAAACTTGATAACGCACAGGCCTCACACAAACGCACTCCTCATACACATCATCATCTGACATTTCCCTGAAATCAAAAGGGCACACCTGTTACGCTGACAGTGAGCTTTGAGTCTGCAGAGTAAACAGGACAGATTGATAGATCAATGCAACCGTTTGAATGTCTGTAAGGTGATGCAGTGAAGTGAAGAAGACAGTGCTGACAACCGTAAAGCAAATCATTTAAAAACACCAAACCTGTGGGACTCTGTAAACACTCTGCAACAGTGACATCTGCTGGTGAAGGCTGAAGCTAACAGTGTGTGTATGGCAAAACCATACCAAGAATTTAGTCCAAAACAAAACACAAACAAATATTTACGTCAAACAATGCAATTGAATGTCAAGAAAAATAAAGAGTCACTCAAACAAATTGTGAAGTGTTATTTGAAATTAACTGTATTCAAAACAGTGACCTTACCTGGAGCAAGGCCACTGTTTGAAAAAAGTCCTAGGGCCTGTTCTCCATACGTTCAGGACATTCTCAGTGAAATCTTGATGAGATCCCAGATCTGTCAGTTCTCAAAAGTCAAACTTACTCAGGGGCAGGTTTATTAAGTATAAAGAAGATGGACCTGCACAGCAGCATTTGACCATTCTGTGCAATTCTTGTGTGAGGAGCTGCTTGAAATGTGTGCGCTAACAATAAGAAAAGCATTTGAGGTGGACATGATATCACAACTGTCCCTTATTTTACCGTCTTTGACTTTTAGAGAGGTGTTGGTTTAAATCATGAAGAAAAAAAATCATATACGTAGTCTAATTCAGTGTTTCCCAACCACTGATTCGCCTCACATAGGTGTGGAAGATCATCTGCTTCCAGCTGATTAGTAACAGGCAGAACAATTACATTCTCTTCTACGGAGGGCAGTACAACTACCTGCTCTAATTAAATTGATTGCCAACTGCCAGTAAAACAGAAGAAGATGAAGAAGAAATTACATAATAGTCATGCTGTGAGACCAGAGTAGATAAATATCTGATAAGAAAAGCAGTCAATTTGACCTAGGTCCTAGAGAAAAGGCCCTAGCATGAGCAATGGTCAGAAGAAAGCAAAAAAGGTATACTGGGGACAAAACGGAGTCCAAAATTAATTAAGCATCTTACACTGAGCATTTCCGACTTTCCCTAGTCTGTGACTAAAAAAACGCAAACATTCGGGCTGATTTAATCCAGCTAGCATCTCTCATGGATTTGAAGAAGCAGCCATCAAAGTTATTATTTCCTGAGAGTGACATCTTTATTAAAGAGTATTTGGCCAATCTCAGCTTCAAGTCCCTGAACAACATTGACAATCTGCGGTCTTAGGTTCCTGTATTACTACTAATCACTTTCTGTGTGAAACCCACTTTATAAAGCTTTGTCATTTTGATGACATTAAAATGCTACAGTGATGACTTGAGGACATCAAATTCCTGGGGAGGAATGTTAATCTACTTGACAAGAGGAACTGAAGTTATAGGGCAAAGTACAGGCTTCCATTTATGTAAGAAAAAAATCATCTAGAGTATTTCTAACTCAAGTAAAGTCATAGACAAGACATTACAAACCGGAGTGACCTCACAGTGTTAACATCCATCATTTATATACAGTCTATGGAAGAAACTGATTTGAGAAAACAGCCTTTAAAAAATGATTTGCCAATTCTTATTTGGAAAACACTATTGTATTTTCTTTTTAATAATACATATCAACATTACATTTTTCGATGTATCTGTTTTCTTAAATTATAAGATTATATGCAAAAAAGTTGTTTCAACTTTAACATAACAATTTGCAAACACATATATGTTATTTTAAATGTTTAGATAAAAGGCAAAACTGTCAGCTCTACCTTTTGAAACTAAACCTGCGCCACGATTATTGAACTAGGCAAGGATGAAATGACCAGGCTTACAGTGATTCATGTTGTGATGTTGATCGCCCATCTCCAAATTGGTTTTCCATTTTTAAACCCTTCCCCAACACAAGCAGTGCAAGTGGAACTACAGAACAAACACCCTTGGAGGACATGTAAGCAGGGTGGTGGGAAACATAGAGGTTGTTTTATGGGGTGGGGGGGTTGAACAGAATCTCACTGCTCCAAAAAGAGCCTCTTGCTACATCTGCTCTGTGTTAATAAATAACATAACTCCATCTGCACAGTATCTACAAAAATGGGATCAAAGCCATGTTACTGATAGCAGGTTATAGATCAGCGGTATCTCTGAGGAATAGTAGCATTGATTGAATATGAAATCTAATGCATGACTGTTGCCTGCATCTGTACAGCTGTAATTTTTGTTCAATTACACTTTAGATTGCAGTTACTCTCTGTACCATTAACACCCATTAATGAGTCTGTGCCAGAATCCCACTCTGGGTGAACAATTCTGTGAGCATATATGGTTTAAACACAGGTCTTTAATGCTGGGGATGTGGTGCATATTTACTAATTCTGCATAAGTGTGTCTCTAGAAGGTTCCAGAGTTGATCAGAGTGTGGAGCGACAGCTGTGCTACAAATCAGTGTCCATTTACTGGTGACAAAGTCATTAAAGCCTGCTCATCTCATAAAACACAATGCACATGGTCAAATACCATTTGCTTCTTTCATGCTCATAACTCAGTCTACTGCACACATGCACACACACACGGACAGATGCACATGCAAACACACAGTTTCTCACAAAACTAAACTGAGTGTGTCAATTGGACTGAGCACAGGGGGCAGTGTGTGTGTGTGTGTGTGTGTGTGTGTGTGTGTGTGTGTGTGTGTGTGTGTGTGTGTGTACGTTGTTTGTGCATCCATAATAAGCAGGGTGATAACAACCAGAGGTAAAGACGGGTATTTGCTAAAAGCACAGCAGCCATAAAGACTGTCACACTTTATCCAAGGGTTGTTTTATGATAAGTGCACACCACAACACATATCCCATAGTCTCCTTTTACTCTTTCAATTTAGCACAGCTGTACAAAATGTATGCAAATCAGCTGTATGGATAAAGCGTATAAGAAGTCTTGTTCTTTTTCTTTGCTGTCTTTACACAGTTAAATCTATGCCTAAGTATTATCAAGTATTTCTTGAATTAGTTAATGCAAAGGACAAAAAACTTTTGTCCTCCAGTATATTGACTTCATGGGTACTGTAGGAAAGTGTGGGTCAGTCTTCCCCTTCACAGATTTACACACAAGGTTAGAGGTGCTATCAGAGGATTAATGCACGATAGGCAGGCACTGAGGTGTAAAATGTCACTAACCTCAGTCTGATCTAGGGTCAGCTGCTAGACACCCAGAAGGTCGCTGCAACACCTGAACCTACACAGTGCAGCAGTTACAGTATGGACATACATTTGTAATTGTAGCAGTGTTAGCAAATATGTCACACAGAAATGAAAAAAATATCCAAATAAATAAAGTTTCAACAGACTTCTGAATCTACCCTTCCATCTGTTTTTTTAGCTGCTTACAAGTGAGGGTAACAGAAAAACTAGAGCCTCTCCAAGGTCTCATAGGGTGATGGGTTGTATTTGATCATACCTGGAAATGTAGCCATTCATTCATGTGGAATATTTACCAGGGAATATCAGTATTAACTGAAGGTTGATTGTATTTGTTCGGGATAGGAATACACACATTTCAGTCCCATCATCCAAAATTAAAAAATTTCTGCATTCATCAGCCTCAATCTTTTCAACACACTCTCTTCACTTGTTAGTATATTTCTATTCTGTTTTTAATAAGACCAACCTGCTGTACAGGTGTGCTTGTGTTCCACCACAGTCTCTCTGCTCAGCCAAACAAGTGTCTGACCTCACTATAAGCCTTTTGCCTTTGCCAGCTCTCTTTACTAACCTCTTCTTTTGAATACTTTCCTGTAAGTCCTCATTCCACCACCACGTCTCCTTTTCTACTTTTGTCTTTCCAGAGAATTCGCCAAACAATTTCTTGGCAGTTTTTTGTCCTCACTCTTCTTGAAGTACGTGCTCACCATAGTCATTTTCATGCAAATTAACATTGGCTAAATGATTATTGTTGTGCATTTTTTGTGATGAATAATATGATAGTGAGTGTAGATTTTCCCAAAAAAGTCATCATCTGGCTGGGATTAAATGTTCATCTAAAACCTGATTGTGGCTATAAAATGAAGACTGGTGATGGCAGGTTTTCTTTGGGCCAATCACTGATTAAGTAGCCAGTGGAAAGGATGCTCTGGTATGACTGGAAGTTACAGTTAGGGTGGGCCAGGCAGCGTTTTGTTTTGAAGTAGTAAAACTAAAATCACCTTTTGATATATCAGTTGATCAATCTGAAAAGTACAATCTGACTTTTGTTATCTAAAGGGTTAAAGCTTCAGATAACAAAGAGCTGAAAGAAACTGGAAAGTTCCCAAATGGTTGTCCCTAAGAGCAAAAAGTGGGAAAAAAAATGTCATCAAAGATGCAGACTTTAGAACTGAGCGCTGAAAACAAGCCGGATGTTTGGTGTTCTTTTTAACCAAAGGACCTCATGGAAATGTGTTTAAAGTTGAAAGCTGAAATTTTCAAAAGTACTCAGCCTTGAAAATAAAAGAGTAGTGTCCACTAAAGCAGGCATTGTGAAATATATAAGCATGCAAAAATCCTTTTTGCACTTTGGACTTTTAGTTCAAAATCAAGACAGACATAAAAGAGGCTCATCTCGTTATGTCTTTATTTGCACGTCATAAGCTTTTACTCCTAGCATACTTATAGGTCCAATTATTAATTCAATGCACACTTTTTAATTGGAACAATCCTTGGCCCTATTTATTATTTATGGATCATGGGATGTATCAGCATTTTTAGTGAGGGACTTGTTATAGTTTTTGCAGACTAAGCTCACCATACACAGCACTCATACAGACTTCCTCATCGTGAGTGAGCTATCTTACCTTTCCATTTATTTACCATTTACCATCTTACCTTTCTCAACGATTTCGCAATCCTTCATGGCCCAGTCACAGTCAGAGTGTGTAAGCACAGCTGTTGGTGACCTCTTGACCTTGAGATGAAGAATTCCAGTAGACATCACCATGTGCCTGAAGAGGAAACGCAAACATCTAATGCTTCTGTATGCACATTTTCACAGTAGATTTCACTGTGAGCTTTGAAGCCAAAGCATGCTAAAAAGTTGGGGAGGTTTTCCCTTTCTTTTATTCACATCTGGCTAGTGCTTTTTACAGCAAAAAGTATAAAATAGTAGATGATTACCATAGAACTATTTTGAGCAATGTTGACATAAGTAACAGGAAAGCAAAAAAAAAAAAAAAAAAAAAAAACTTACCTCCATTGAATAAGCTCCAACTCAAAAGTTCAAAACTGATTTCAGGACTTCTTGACCTCTTATATTGATCAATATCTTCTTGCTCAAACAGTTCAGAAAACTTTAAAAATAACTGTTTGCTGAACACTGCGCCATGGTGACAGGACAAAAGAAAGAAAAAAAGTTCCTCTTTTCTTAAGAATGCTGTCGGAGTGGTTTTGTTGCCACTTAAGCATTCAGGAAGAGAAGAAGTCACAATGCTGTCCTTTCAGGGGTTAGAGGGAGAACAAAAAAGGGGAGGGGGGGGACACACAAGCCAAAATATGGTTGAGGGCTTAAACTCCACTGAGCATGTGTCATACATTTATTTTGAAATGTACCATTCAAGGAAATGCATGCCATTAAAGATGAACTATTTAGAACTAAAATATGTATTTACAGCAGACAAGTCAAAACATGCCTTCATCTAGATGTAATTCAATAAATAGCCATGGTTTCCTGACAGCAGGACGATCAAAGTAACAGCAGAGAGTCACTGTGCCCCAGGCAACTCCAGCAGTCCCTCACACAGCTCCCTATTGTCCTGCCTTGTGACTACAAGTGCATCCCCTCTCAGCCTGCTCCTTTCATACCACTGTTTTCTTCAGTGAGATGGCCACACCAAGCAAAATCCAGTAGCCAAAAGTCACAAGACTGCCTCGAGAGAAAGTTCCAAACCATCTCTACAAAGAGTTATCTCCAGAAAATGTTTCAATGGAGTTTTCTCCACTCAATGACATGAAATCCACAGCACACACTTGTTCCCAGCAAATATTAACTCTCACCTGGATTTTGTCAGTTGAAGTCTGTTGAACGCTTAAAGAGGAGTGAACAGGTGGGTGAGTGCTGCAGTGATTTCCCTAAACAAACAGACACAGGAGAGCACCTGCAATTCAAATACAAGGCCAACATGTAAAACGAAACCAATTCGTGTCCCAAAACCTCCATTTGCCTGTATTTGAATGCAGCCAAAAGAGGCCAAGATGTGCTATATAAGACAAAATAAGACGAACTGAGTCAATTTGCTTTTCTTTTTTTTTTTCAGGAAAAGCATGGCTATGTCCCCACTGTGTGGTCGGCTATCTGGTGTTGACAACACCACAGAATAAGCAGCATAAAAGGATAATTCCCTTTTCTAACATTTACAGTAAATAGGTAGTAGTTGAACTGGTTTCATTTTGAGAAAAGCTCTTTAACTGGAGCGGAAGATGTCTGCCCTCATGTGGACAGAGACTGTAAATGCATCAACTGGGGGGAAAAGAGAAGTATTACTTGGCATAAATTAAGGGTCAACATTCAGAGGAAGCATTTTGATTTGCATGACAGTTTGTGGCTTGAAGAGCTTGCAGTAGCTACAGTAAACTGCTTGCCTCTGATCAGCCTGATGTACGTCTCTTTAGCAAAGGGTAGTAGTGGTTTTGTTTCCATTTCCACATTCTTTAACTTTATGTCACAAAGTCATCTCATCAAGAGGTTAGCCACTGACACAAAATTGCTGATCTTTTAAATTCTAAGAGGATCACATTCATGCACAAGACAAAAGGTCTAACTGGACTTGTGCTTATATAGCACTTTGGTTATTCTTTTGGTCACTCAAAGAACTTCCTTTGAGTGCTCAAATGAGGGATTTGTTCCACGCACATTCATACAAGACTTCTATGCCCAAGTGCTTTATAACAGACGCACTCACGCTCTGATGGATAGTAAGGATAGATCTTTCATATGTTATGGCTTGTTTTGGTCAGCCACCTATTCCACATGGGCACATGAGCCTTGTAAGCCATCCGGGAGGGGCTCAGAGTAGAATGAAAGGAGCAGTTGAGGTGGTTCGGGCATCTCACAAGGATACCTTCTGGGCACCTCCTGGGTGGCCACCAGAGGGAGGCCCCAGGGCTGACCCAGGAGACGTCGGAGAGATTATATCTCTTGGCTGGCCTGGGAACGCCTTGCTGTTTCCCTGGACAAGCTGGATGAGGTGGCTGGGGAGAGGGAGGTCTTCTCTGCTTCTCTGCTTAGGCTGCTGCGCCCACGACCAAGCCCCAGATAAGCGGAAGAAGATGGATGGATGGATGGATGGATGGATGGATGGATGGATGGTTTACCCAAAACACACTTTATGAACCTTCCTCCACTGAATGATCAAAAGCAGATAAAATATCAAAGGCACCAGTGCTTGTTTCTGTTAGACTTGTGTGATAAACTTGTGTGAAATCTCTGGCTATAGAAAAAATGATTCTAAACAACAACAAGATTTTGGTTTTAGGTTGTGACAGTTATACTTGGCCTAAAAACTCCCTGAAAAGCCTTGAGTTGGTCCAACATGCTACAGCAAAGAGTATTGACTGGGACTAGAAAGAGTCCAGAATCGCATTTAAAATTCTGCTCCTCACATTCAAGGCCTTGAATAATCAGGCCCCATCTTATCTTAAAGACTTCATAGCACGGTATCACTCCAATACAGCGCTTGACTTTCAGACTGCAGGCTTACTTCCAAGGATATTTAAAAGTAGACCGAGAGACAGAGCCTTCAGGAACCAGCTTCTAGTTTGGATTTGGGATACAGACACTCTCTCTGCCTTCAAGATTAGGCTTAAAACGTTCTTTATTGATAAAGCATATACTTAGTATTGGCTCAGGTTACTTTAGCCCTTGGGGGCTTCACATGATACACTGGGTGTTTCTTCTTCACCCACCTTTTATCACTTACTATGTGTTTATACAACCACACTGCATTTAATCATTATTTTACTATTCATCTCTGGCTCTCTGCCACAGTGTGTATACCCATCTGCTGACTTGAGTGGTCAAACCAAACACATCACAATGCAGCCGTCAACAGAGGCTGGAGTCCTAAGAAAGACTTTGCATTAGAATGGTGTTTGAGGTCTACACCAAACCTTCCCCTGCCAGCATTCAGTGTCAACGAATCACCTCATTGTGCCTGTTTGTCCACGAGTATCACTGACCGTCGCTCTACCGCGAGCTCGTCCGATTGGCTGTTTTTGCTGCACCTGTTAGAGTCTGGCACCAATCACGCGCTCCTGTCGGTGCGCCCCAAGATGGCGGCTTACAGTGTGCTGTAGTGTACATCATCACACTGGAAAGCGAATATTACTATCACTCGACCGTTTAAACTCATGAGGAGGCCGAGCAGAGAGAGCCGAGCGGGGCCGAGCTGTCGCCAGTGAAACGCGGAAGCGGTTGCCGCATGGTTTCTTCACGAGAGCAGCCGGTTTCGGTGTCGGTCTGACGGGGGTTATCTGAGTATGGCCACCGACAACAGGATCAATTTTTGGAGGAGAAACGCAAAGGTTCCTGGAAGGTAGGTCCTCTTTTCTTCATAAAGTAGCACTACATTTCTTAGTGAGTTTCAAACAGGCACTGTTGAAATATTGTCCTTAACAAAGACACACATTAATAATACTCTTTTCTATTGATAATACTCGTAACTAACAGATCTGTGTGGAAACACAAGCGCACAAATCGACTCGTTCGCTGGATTTCACGCATGAGCCGCTTCCAGTGTCTTATTCGAGTGTGTGTTGTTATAACAGCTCCCAGCTCAGAGGCAGACCCCCATCTCTTTCTTCTCTGCGGTTTCTAACGATCACACTGGAGGTGGCAGCTGTCTGTCAACCGCCATATGCTTTCTCAGTCTATGCTGAGAGGTGCTGGTGACAGTACAGTAAAACGATCAAAAACATCAGGGAGGAAGAATGCACTGTCTGAACCACTAACACAGCACTAATATCTTATTTTGTCATCTCAGTGGGTTTTCTTGGAGGAGTTAAATGAAACGCATCCTCGTTTTATGGCAGCATTACTTGGGGAGGACACAGTAAAGACATTACTGTTTACAAATGAAATGTGTATATAGTAAATATTATGTTACAAGAGTGGGGAGAAGCATAATTTTAATAAAGTGCACAGTAGAAAGCCTTTGTGTTCAAAGTGTCTTGTAAAAAGATATTTAAAAAGTTTCTACAAACTGCACTGCCCCCCAAAAAAGAATAAATAAAAAAAAGTACATCTTTCAGACACTGACTAAGCACACAAGAAAAAATGCAGAGCCCTTCTATCCACCTGTTGGGGGCATTTTGGTGATGGTCATTGCAAACAGAAACTATAGGAGGGAAACATTGCACTTTGGGAATGCTGATTTCATCCTGTAGTGAAAACAGTTAATAACATGCTAATAGAGGGGGGGGGGGGGAGCGAATGGGTTTGTAAGCTGTTCATTCTTAACAATTTTATAACTGTGTAGTGAATAGTTACCAAGTGTTTGCAGACCAGTTGGTGTCATCCATGGAGCAGTCTCCTAGTGATCACAAGGAGGTATTTGATGCAGTGATGTATACCTTTTGGGAGCAGTTTTGGCTAGCAACTGGAGAATAGTAATTTTTCCCTAGTAACTGGTGGTTGCCAGGCAGTCACCCGCTGATATGTAGGTAAGGCCCAATCACACAAGTCTAACTTCATTTGATAAGAGTGAATATCTGATGAAATTATATATAATGCCTGTCAGGGTGAAAACTTTACTATTTAAGCACCTAAACTGGAGAGTTATTGACATTATACTGTGTCTGTATTTGTATTTCATTGTGAGATATTTATGCCGGTATAATGTTCTGAGTGTGCATACTTAAATATTCACCTGAATATAGAATGCATCTGCTGTAATATTGGGTACATTTTAATAATTCTTGGAATCATTGAAAATACCATATTTTGGCATACTTAACAAACACTAGTGTTTGTTTTTTTTGGATGCAGCCTATGCCAAGACACATTGAAACTGTTCTGATGGCAGGTCGGGACCGAACTCTTTATTGAGGCACTTTTTTATCTTTAATTTGTTACCCATGTATGCATTATTTTGTCTATAAAGTACTGCAAGACAACAGAAAAATAACAGAACTTTTTTTTTTGCTCTGCTGCAAACTTCATTTGGAGTTTGTTTATTAGTCTCTAAGCTGAGTATAATGGGAGACACATACTTGAGCTAGGCTAGTCCCAGCATGCAGAGCTTACGCAATAGACATCATGGGCATGGCTAATAAAGGGTATACTCCCTGCTTTGTTTTGTTTTATTTTAGTTTTTCCTGTGCGCAGGTGGAAGCTAAAAATCCCTCACGCCTCACTGATAAGACAAGACGCTTCTTCATGTTTATGCGTTTGTATCTTTATTGACCTCTGTGTTTTTTTATGACTATCAAGACTGCTAATCTGATTAAATGTCCTTTCCTGGTACCATCTAACTGCAAGAGGGTGGAGCAGAGAAAAGAAGTGGGTGGAGGTGGGCGGTCAGCCTGTTTTAGAAATCTGAGAAGACGGGATCTCCAAGGAGAGGGCGGTGCTGTCTTTGTCACACACACTGATCTGGGGTGGGTGGATCGTTAGAAACACAAACATATGTTTGAACAGGAAGGCTAACAGCTAGTCTTGCTGCCTGTCCTTGAGCTGCTCCTGATAAAACAAGTGTGAGGCTGGTAAACAAGACACTCTGGCACTGCCAGATAATCAGCAGGCTCAGTTCTCAGCCTTAGGCTTGAAAAGCTGCAGTTTGATAAACTTCATATTATTTGCAGCCCTGTGATATTCTCACAAAACCCACTCCGTTACTTAGAATAATTGGGTTATCATGACAAATGGATAATATTATGAAAAACTACAGAAAATAGATTTTTTTTTAAGTATTATCATAATATTTTCATGTCTGAATCTCTAAATGGCCCATATCATAGAGAGCCCTCTTTAACAGAGACCTTAGTCTTTGTCACTGTGACTTTGACCAAAAGCTGACATCTCGAAGTTGATGAGCTAATGCACCACAAGACTTCATGCAGTGCCAATACTGCCAGATAAGAACGGGAAACTGAGGTTACAATTTGCATGGGCTCACCAAAATTGGACAATAGAAGAATTGAAAACTGTTGTCTTGTCTGATGAGTGTCCATTTTTTTCTGCAGCATTTGGATGGTAGGGTCAGAATTTGATAATATCAAACCTTCTGCCTTGTATCAACAGTTCAGACTGTTGGTGGTGGTGGTATAACAGTGTGGAGGAAATTTTCTGCGCGAACTTTGGGTCCTTCATACTGACTGAGCATTATTTGAACACCACATACTACTCAACCATTCTTGCTGACCAAGTTCATACATTTATGGCCACTGTGTGCACATCTTCTGATGGCTGATTCCAGCAGGATAATTCACAGTGTCACCAAACTCAAATATTCTCAGACTTTTTGACCACAACAATTTTGCTATATCCATGTCGCCTACACATGCAACAGAGCACCTTTAAGGACAGGTTGAGTAGGTTCAGCCTGGTACTAGCAACATGTAACTAATGAAGTTGAAGGGGCCAAAAAAAAGGAAACGCAAAATGGGCAGCTATCAGTGTTTTTCCGCTGAGTAAAGACTTTAATAGAATGCAAATAAAATTTTGGTAATAGGCATTTTTGGCAATTGTAGATCCTATCCTACCACTCCAGACTATCTTTGCTTTAGTTCACCAGAGATTTGGAAAGAAGCTGAGTATTAAGATTCTCAAATCCGCTGAACATACTGCACACCACAGGGTGGTAAAGAACACAGGCGCTCTGCAAGCTGTCCACTTCTTCTGTTCAGTGCATGCTTAAAACAAGCTCATTTTGTGAAATAGGGATATTTCATATAAGGGATTGACTGAGTCATGTGGAAGGGAAGGCAGCATGTAGAACAGTATTTGTTGGGTCTGTGATTTACCAACTGGGATTTTAGCATTGCAGAATCATTAAAGAAATGCTCAGATAGTTCCCAGATTTGAAATTCATTTTTAGGGATGTCCCAAACATCAAATGGATTTCATTATGCACTCAACAGGAAATTACAACTGTGTTTGCTGCCAGTACAGATCTTCTAGCCGGGCTACAGCCTGCCTATATGTTTGGGGTGTAACAATTCTCCAGTGCAGGGTTCAGTTCATAGGCTTTATGTTGGCCCACCTTTTTCTTTAAACACTTATAAAGCATATAAAGCATATCCTTTCCCATATACACATTTTTGATAGTCATACAATCTGTTTCCAGATGTTGCTTCTCCTCTGTGACTTCTCCCTCTTTGCTGTGTAATTAATTAACTAATTTTAAAGAAACTGAGCAACTTACTCAAACTAAGAAAGGTGAGTTCAGAAGAGCAACACATCAGAGGCCAGGACATATGTCTGCCAACATTCCTGTGAACAGTTATTAATTAACATCTTCTAAGAAGTTCATCTTTGATTGTTCGCTCAGTCAGACACTCGAGAGCTGCGTGTGTTTTTTGGTGAAGAGATGACGGCATTTTACATGTTATCTTCCACAGTGTGCAACCGGTTTATGGAGCTCAGCATCCACCTCTTGACCCCCGATTGCGACGCACGTAAGTGCAGTAGGCTGCATGGTGTCGCGTCATCCCAGTTAATCCATTTTAACTTTTAATCTCAGTGTAACATGTATTTCGTAGCTGTTTCTTGCCGCAAATGCTTGAATACAGTGCTATGAAAAAATATTTGCCCCCTTCCTAATTTCTTATAGTTTTGCATATTTGTCACACATGTTTCAGCTCCTCAGATTTTTAATATTAGACAAAGATAATGTCAAATAAATAAATACAAAAGACAGTTTGTGTTTTTATTTATTTCATTTATTAAAGGGGAAATTTTTTCTAAACCTACCTGGTCCTTTGTGAAAGAGTAAATACCAGACTTAAATAAAAGTTACCTGATGACTGAGAAAGTACTATTGTAATACCGAGAGAAGCTGCTTAGTGTACTAAACGGCTGTTTAGGGCTTTTCTCTGTTCACTGGACAGAGAAAAGTGGACAAGGAGACTTGGTGGTGCAATGAGGAAGTACGGAAAAGTATTCAAATGTTGGCAAAGAAAAGGTGGAATAGTGAGGGAGATGAAGAAAATGGACAAGTATGCTGGTAGGCTAGGCATACAGTGAAGTGACAAGTAGCAAAGAAATACTGATTTCTGTGTGAGGTTGGACACTAAGGCCAGAAAAGTCGACTTGTGTTTATTGGCTGGGCAGAGAGATTGAGCTGGAAAGGATGTGCAGCAGGTTGGGTTTATTAAGGATAGAATGGAAATGTACTTACAAATGAAGAGAATGTCTTGAGAAGAAGGAAGGAGTTCTTTGAAGAGCTGAAGAATGAGGACAGTGCAAAAGAGGAAGACAGATTGAGGACAGCTAGTGACTGATTCACTAGTTTCACTAGTGTCTTTGTGGAATGAGAGGAACTATAGAACTACATGAGGAAGTCAGGGGTGGCAGAGAAATAAGTGACGGTGGTGGGGGACATGTGTAAGTATAGCAAGACAGTGGGGAGGTGTGTGGTAGGAGTGATAGATGGGTTCAAGGTGGGGTTGCGAATACAGCAGGAATCAGCTTTGAGACACTTTTTGTTTGCAATAGTGATGGACAGACTGATAGATGAAGTCAGGAAAGAGTTTCCATGGACTGTGATGTTTGGAGATGACGTTGATCTGTAGTGAGAGTAGGGATCCGATGGAAGAAAGGCTGGAGAGATGGAGGTATGCACTAGAAAGGTAAAACAATGAAAGTTAGTAGCAGCAAGTGAATGAGAAACAGAATTGTTGCAACAAGTAGGTTGTGAAGGTAGTGTAGTTTAAATATCTAGGGATGGGGCACAAAAGCAGTCAAGAAGAGAGTGTCGGGTGATTTGTGCCAGAAGGTTGCAAGTTAGAGCAAATGGGAAGATTTACAAGATGTTAGTGAGACCTCCTATGATGGTCTACAGTTTGGAGATAGTGAAACTTTTCATTGGGAGTGATCAGAACACAAGACGTAAGTATGAGAAATGAACCAAACTAAGAAATCGGAGAGGGGCCGGATACCTTTTCCACAGCACTGTATGTGTGGACTGCATGCACCAGTCCTGTGCAAGTGTGGCCAAATGTTTGCACTGGATTTTTTTCATCATCTCCTAAACCCCCCAAATGTTTTCAGTCTCAGACTGAAGAAGTCACTTGGATGAGTGACAAAACATTTCTCCCACTGAAAACTCTACGTCTAGATGAACAGAATTGACTTTTAAGGGATTTCCTTAATGATTGAACATGCATCAAGACATCATCTCCTAAAGTTGTTTTTTGGTTGGTTTCTTTCTCTTTTCTGCTTGTTTGATATTTCAATCTGTCTCCCTGCAGGTATCCCAAAGACACAAAGCCCAAGTTCAACAATATCAAGACCAAAAAAGCCTCCAGCTTTCATGAGTTTGCCCGCAGCACCAACGATGCTTGGGATATTGATGATGAGGAGGATGAAGAATTTCTTGGCACCTTCAACCCAGCTGTATCTATACCACCAGGCCTGCACACTACGTCATCCATACAGAACCAAGTAGCTACAAGATTTGATTTTTTGTCAGTCAGCAGTAAAGAAAATGAACTAGTGTGAAAAGAAAAGAGACATTCTAGTGTGTCTTTTGATTTGATATTATTTTCATCTCAGCAGCATCAAGCAGGTGACACAGAAAGTGCAGTTTCACACAGATTGGCACCACCCACGACAGAAGGTCCAAACCTTCAGGATGTGCAGGAGGAGGACACGGAGTACGAGCAAGCCAATGGCAAGGTTGTCAAGTCTAGCAGCGATGCACACCTTAACACATCTTCAGGTATGTGGCTAATATGCTGCAGCTTTAAGATCTACAGAGCAGATTATCAGGTGATTCATAGTGAAGCTAATTACAGATTTTCACAGGTGGGATTTAAGACTGCAGTTAGGGCTGGTGGGATTATAGCAAGGCCTTTAGGATGTGTCTGATGTTCCATGATATCATCACAATTGAGTAATGCAGACGACAGAGGACTGTATACCACTTATTTATCTTACTGCTGTACAATTAATGTCTTTAGGTTTTCTTTATGTTCAAAAAATAGAACTAGAAATACTAAAATAAAGATGTATACAGGATTAGTATTACAGAGAAAGCACATGTTATTTAACAATTATCTGATCACCTCTGTGTCTCATAAGGCACATTCACACAGAATAAGTGAAATCAGTTTCTACTTCATTGATAATCTTATCCTAACCAGTGTTTCTTTCTGTGACTAGCTCTTCTTGTGATGTACCAGCCCCCCAGATTTCAATCCAGTTATGTTGTTGTGATGAAATTATATAATTTATAATAAGCATTAATTAACAGTTGCAAATTCCTGTTCAGCGTCTTTACCATTAATATCTCTAAGTGCTTTCTTTTAAGAGCCTATGAGGGAAGTACAGTGTTTAATTACCGTTAGTGTGCCTGGATTTAAGTTGTAAAATCTCTTGCAACCCCTCGATATTAGGGTTGATTTTAAACAGTTTGTCATGTGTGAATTCAATAATTAACAAGATCGAGTACAGGGAAAATTTATGCAAAACTTCACAACACTTTTTACAGAATGCCAGGTTATATGTACCCAACCTAAGTACCTTATTTATCAAAAATGCTTGGGGGAACATTTTATTCTTACAATACTGAGATAAGATGGACCTATGCAGCATAAAATGTCAGTCCCTCTTCTTCAGACTTCTTCAGACAGAGTCCAAAATATTTTGGGAGTCAGTCTGCCAAAAGAATATCCTTTCATTATCCACCTTTAAGAAAACCAAAGTTTAATGGAGGCCTTTAATTCAGTAGATTTGTCAGTTTCACCAAACAGCGTACAGCAGGAATCCCTGTGAGTCACTCAGGCTGTAGACTGCTCCAAACACTCAGTTTCAGACTATTTTTTCTGCTATTGTCTCTGTTTAATATCACTGAGATTATCTTACATGTTCACCTTGGACAAACAGCTCTGATTGTCAGCACAGAAGTCCCACCCAACCGCTTTTCAAACAAGTTTGGATTGGCACTCAGTCAGAAGACTGTTGTCTCAAAGGGTAGGGGGAAGAGAACTGAAATAGCTGAAAGAACTGATGGGCTGCACCAAGGACCCGTTTTTGATAAACAAGGATTATTTTGAACTGTGAGTCTGAACTAATAGAATAAAGACTAAAAATATGGATTGGAAAATAAGCATAAGAAATCCCCTTTCATAGCTTAAGTTATGAAATAACTGTCATCAAGTTCGACACTAGAAATTAATAAGAAAAGTTTCTTTTTCTTTTTGAAGTTCTGCACATGAATGAAAAGAACTCCCATCTGCAAATGTCTTATATGTGACAGGATGAAAGATCAAAGCCAGATGTAATTGTAGGACTGTGTGAATAATGAAAAATTATACATGGTAAACAGGTTTCATTAATCCTCAATTAGCTTTACCCTCAGCTTTATGAGTAGGATCACTGTTTCAAATCTAGTGGCTTTTCATATGATGAATAGTCAGCTGAATCTTTATTCATAAGTCATCTAGTTTCTGAATATTCACATTGTTGACTGGTCTCCCACTAGCCTTTCTTAGACTACGTCCACACTAGCCCGGATAGATTTGAAAACGGCGTTTTGGTCTGAAAACGCTCTGCGTCCACACTAGTGTTTTCAGTCGTTTTCACAGAGTTGTGCGTCCACATTGAAAGGCCAAAAACGCTTACATTCCAGTCCTGCACATGTGCAAAAGTGAGTGAGAATTAAAGAATTTGAAGAAAAGCTATCTGGAGCATGTACAAACTGATATTAATCTTTTTTAGGGCTGTCAAAATTGAGAGCAATCAAAACAACTGCTGTATAATGCACTCCCCTATCTTTGTTAAATTGGTCACATGACTGCATCACATGACTAAAATGCGTCATCGTTTTAGAAAGTCTGCGTTTTCGAGAGTCCACACTGCGATGGGGCAGCTCCATTTTGAAATGTATGCGTTTTCAAGGGCGTTTTCAAAACGCTGCGTTTTTCCTTGGGGAAAGCGCTGTCTCAGTGTGGACGGGAGGACAAACCGGAGAGAAAACGATGTGTTTTCAAACGAAAACCCATTAGTGTGGATGTAGCCTTAGCCAGTAGTCAACACTTCAGCTAATTTAATCCTATTAAACTGCCTTTATGTGTTTACAAAGTCACAACACTGACTGTCTTCCACCTACAATCCAGTTTTGAGATCCCTTCCCAGGCACCTTAGCCCCCACTCACATCAGGTGAGGTCACATGATAGGGTGAGGCAAGGTCTCCCAATGGTTTCACCCGAAACCTCTGCTGGTAATGACCTGTGCCTTTTTTGGTGAGGCGCAGGATCAATAGTAGGTCAACAACTCCCACCAAGGAATAAATACCTGACCACAGAAATAAATATGGCAACAAAGTAAGAAAATAATTGCATAGCTTAAGGAGATTGTTGTAAAGTAATATGCATCTCTTTAGCTTTACTTGTTTAATTTAAGATTAATTGCATATGAAAAATATTTGAACCTTTTTATTGTTCCTTTAATATCGTGGCTCTTGCTTGTTTTCATTCTCCATTGTAAAGTTGCCTCTTGTTTTTAATCCGTGTGCTCCTTATGCAGTTCGCTCCACACTGCAGAAGCAGCAGTCTCTCCCAGTTCGTCCCATTATCCCACTGGTGGCTCGCATCTCGGACCAGAATGCATCAGGGGCACCACCGATGACAGTGCGGGAGAAAAGCCGGCTTGACAAATTCAGGCAGCTACTGGCTAGTCCCAACACTGACCTAGGTACAGCAACAGAAGCAGCTTTTCCCTTATATTGGGATGTGCTAAAGGACTGATCGTTGCAGGAAGGCCGTGCCTTTTGTTGAATCAGAAGATAGCTACCTAATAATTTACAGTACCATACATCAGTAAGGAAACAGATTATTCACATGCAAGTATAATATGCAGGCATCCTGAATAGAAATTCTGTTTTTTTATGTATAAAACAGATTCGAAGATTATTTCAATACAACAATATGACCAAAAATGTGATGTATTACACTGTGTCATTTTTTTTTTTACAAAAACTGAGCCAAAAAGTAGACACAGTGTGTGGAAAAACGAAGTACAGCCCATGATTTAGTAGCTTGTAGAAGTACTTTTAGCAGCAATCAATCAGTAATCAATCAGCTATATCTGACACTTCTCATATTGCTGACTGAGCAATTTTGGCCCACTCTTCTTTACAACAAGGTTGAGGTCTGGACTTTGAAAAGGGAAATGATCAGCGTGTTGCAATGGCCCATTTATCCATTATGTTGTAAATTAACTGGTCAGGGAAGTTTCATTTTCAACCTTGGGGTGAATTTGCTGAGATTGGCAGTTGTCTTGAATGTTTTCCACTTGCGAGTGATCATTCTTGCTGTAGAATGATGGACTTCGATAGTTTGGAAATGGCCTTATAACCCTTCCCAGACTGATAAGCAGCAGCAATTGCACCTCTAAGATCAGTGCCGATGTCTTTTCTGTGTGATTGGAACAAGCAAACTGTCAAAACTTCTGCTTTTATAGAGGTGCTCACACTTGCTGAAAATCAATAAATTAGGATCATTTGATTTGATTAATTTGACATTTTTGTGGTCTAATTGAGAGGTCTGTGAAGGTTCTCAGTCATCCAGGTCATCGGAGTCTAAGTACCTTGGAAAGAAGGGTGTCTGGACTTCTTTAAGGTTCCTTCTCATCCGAGAAGCTTCTTCAGTTCTTCAGTTCTTCAGCGCAATTGGTGGAGAGTTCCGGATTTTACACCCATTTTCACACCTTAGCTCATGTAATTATGATAGGGGGTCCATGACCCTCTCGGGGACACTCCCATAGGGCTTAAAATCTGGGACTGTCCACCGTTTGACCTTAGAACTGAAGAAGCTTCTCAAATGAGAGGTGAAATGTCTTCAAGCTACTTAAAGAAGTCCAGACGCTTTTCTTTCCAAGCTCCGTAGACTCTACTTACAAGAGTCTAATGTAAGCCTTTATATATTTCTATATGTTTTTGGTAGAGCAGAGAAATTTCTTTCATTACCCATACAAGATCCAAAATTTACAAATTAACTATAATCCTCAATGCAGCTCAAAGGAAAGGTCAGTGATCTCTTAAATGTAATTCAAATAAACATTGCCCATGAAGACATCTATGTAACAACTTAAATGATAAGCAATTCAAATTCAGCTTTTAAAAAGTAATTGCTGGATGTTGATTTTGTAAACACTGAGGACATAGAGAGGACATTGTTCAGCTTGTAATTTTGTTAACTATCACTAGATGAAAACAACCAGGATCTGGGTATTTACACACAGTGTGAGCTCCAGTTGATTCACCCCTGTTCAAATAAAATGGAAACTCTGGCTGCACAGTAAGCCTGATTTTAACTCAAATGTGTAGTGTGAGTTAACATGTCATACATATTTAATAAAATTGGCACAGTATCTCACCAGCTTTTAAGAGGAACTGCTGGTGTGCTGTAACTGTTGCACTGCTAAAAATCTTTAGGCTGTAGCTAGGAACATTGTAAGACTGGTCCTCAAAGATTTCTGAAATGAAATATCTGTGAGTTAGATCGCACTTTGAAAGAACTGCACTTCACAATGCCTCTCGTGTGCTGAGACTTTCTTCTAAAAGACTTTGGTTGTGTTTGTGCTTTAGAAGTTAGATTTTTCTGTAGACGTGTATTTTCTTTTAATGTCTTTTCTGTCATCAGTGCTCAACATGATAATGATTTCACTTATCGTACTGGAATGTCAAGCTAAAGAATAGACTGCAAAACTTTATGAGCTTGTCACCAGAAAGAAATGGATCCAGAATATGTGGTACGGGTTTGTCTGAAAGAACCCACACAGCCTTCATTTTAATAAACCTGTTAACACAAGTAATGAAGGACTTGATGAGATTTTTTCACCAAAAGAACTCTCTTTTGTAAAGCTGAACATCACATTTTTTCTATTAAACTGATTTTACAGCTTTATTTTTCTATTGCATGGGTGACTCGTCACTAGTTGTGTAGGTTGTGCTGATCTCTGCTCTGGTTTCTATGTAGCATTGACAGTGCTTGTTTCTATCTTGCTCTGTGCTGTTACAGAAGAACTCCGCAAGCACAGCTGGTCAGGCATACCAAGAGAAGTCCGGCCAATCACATGGAGACTTCTTTCTGTAAGGCTGTGACCTTCAGTTTTGCAAAAGCACATTTTTCTCAGCATTTAATAATCCAAAGCATTCTGTCTCAATAGCTCAATTTTTTTTATTCTTTTTATTTGATTCGTAAAAATTTTCAGATAATGCTAAAAGCTTTATCTTTACAGCCGAACATATCTCAAGTGTTCTCTCGTCTTATTTAATGGTTAGCCTGTTCTGTTCCTCTGAAATTGTTCGGCTAATCAAAAAAGGGTTGTTTTTTTCTGTATCTTAACCTTTCTAATGGCTCGTTCAGGGCTACCTGCCAGCCAACAAGGAACGCAGAGAACTGGTGTTGAAAAGGAAGCGAGAGGAATATTTCAGGTTCATAGAGCAGTATTACCACTCCAGAACAGACGAGCACTATAAAGACACATACAGACAGGTGATGCTGCAGCTGAAATACAAAAAAAGAGATGTAGTTTATGTATGTAAAAGATCCATGACCTAACATGTCAACATTTGTTCCTGTCAGATCCACATTGACATTCCAAGAACAAATCCTCTGATTCCCTTGTTTCAGCAGCCTGCAGTACAAGAGGTAAGATTACTGAAAAGCAGCTCCAATATCTCAGTTGTTTCTCCAAAGTACACGTGTCTCGTTTTCTATGTTCATGATGAGAGTCGGAATACCGACATTATTTTAATGTTTGGTTGGTTCGTTTCTCCAGTTTAGAGTGAACCAGGGACTTGTTTTTGTTTTGGAGATAGTGGCTCTAGCTAATTCTTGGTTCAGTTCAGCGTTTCCACTATTACAAAATGTTTAAGTGGTACATCACAACAGATTGTCCTATGTTGAGATTATATTAATAGCTAAGCCCCTAGTATGAGTTACTGCTTTTATAAGACATGTAATGTGAGGCTTTGCTTTGTTGCTGGCATCATTGGAAGTTTTGGATTTTTTGTTTTCTTTCAATTTTATCCTCCCACTGATTTCATTTGTGTCCTCTCAAAGTTGACATTAGTTTGTCAGAAACCCACCTACTCTCGCCAGTGGTTAACTCGCCTTTCATTGTCATGGCAGATATTGAATTTTATTGGCATTATGGTCTCTGGTCACAATAACAATATGTTGCACATTCCACTTTGAATTCCTTATGAATATGTTATTAAAAATGTTTAAAGTCTTGCTCTTATGAAAAAAAAAGCAAGGGCCCCCGGCCGGCCGCAAAAGGAACAAGGAAAACAAAAAAAAATTTAATTTAATTTTTTAATCCAATAAGGCAAAACAACAAGGAAAAAAACAAACGGGCAAACCTTTTTCCAAAAGCAAAATCCGCAAGGAAAAAAAAGGTTTCCGGAAGAAAAAAAAACCAAGAAAGGAAACCAACCTTTGAAAAAGCAAAATTTAACTTAACGAAAAAACAAATTGGGAAAAAGAAAGTTTTCAATGGCCTTAATTGGGGGGGCCGAAAAAAAACAAAACAACCTAAATTGCCCAAAAAAGTAAAAATCCAACCTTGGTCCGGGGCCGGAACCAATGGTAAAAACAATGAAAAAAACGGAAAGGAAAAAAGGGTGGAAAAGGGGGGGGAATTGCCCGGCAATGAAGAAAAAACCTCAACAAAATAAGAAAACCCAAAAGAAAGTAACCGGTAAAAAAGAAAAGCAACGAACCCAACCCGGTCCCCAAAAGAAAGGAATTTTAAGGGCCTTGCAAAAAAAACAAAAAAATAAAAAAGAAAAAAAATAATTCCGAAAAATCAAGAAAAAAAAGGAATTGCAATAAAGGGAAAAAGGAAAACCCCCGGCAAACCCTAAAGAATTAAAAAAGGTCCGGGTCCCTTTAAAAAACCCCAAAACTGAAAACCCAAAAAAAAACCAAAGCCCCGCCAACAACCAAACCGTAACGAACCCCAACCCAAAAAAAAGGTAAAACCCAACGAAAACCAAAACCCTCAACCAAAACAAAAGCCAAGCCAAAAAAAAACCCCCTTGGGAAACCCTGCCAAAAGAAAGGCCGAAAACTTCCCCAAAGGCCTCAAAAACCCCCAACGAACCCCTCAAGTTTTTGGCCCTAAAACCGCCCAAAACCCAAGAAAAAAACCGGCAAAAAAAAAAAATTTGCCTTTCCTTAAGGTTGGGAAAACGGTCAAAATGGAAAATGAAAAGCCGGCAAAAAAAAATGGGAAAATAAGGGTAAAAAAAAAAAAGCCTTCCTGGGGGAACTTTGAACAACAAGGGAAAAGGAAATTAACAAGAAGTAAAGGGCCGGAAGAAAAGCCTAATAACTAAAAAAAGTAAGTTCAAAAAAAATGCCCAAAACAACCAAGGAAAAAGAATAAAAAAAACAAGCAAGGTGGGGCAACCCAAGTAAAGGAAAAAAAAAGTTCAAAAAGCCGGAAAAAAAAACTCAAAACAATCAAGCCAATTTTTAAAAAACCCTAAAAGGGGCCAAAAAAAAAAAAACGAAAAAGGGGAAAAGAAACAAAAAAAAAAAAAAACTCCAACCCGGAACCGAAAAATAACAAGAAATCCCCCTGGTTCCCCAAAATTTTGAACCAAATCCCCTTAACCGGGCCAACCCGCAACCAACCAACCGGTAACGTCAAAGAAACAAACAACCGGGCAAAACCTTTTTTGGTGGCCTCCCGGCAAAAGTTGGCAAGAAAGTAAAACGTGAAACCGGGGAAAAAAAAATTGGGTTGGTCCTTTTCCAAGTAAGGTAAAAAATGAAAGAAAAAAAATTTAAAATTCCTCAACAAAACCCAACCCAAAACAAAAAAAAACTGAAAAGAAGCAACAAGCCCAAGCAAGGGTAATTGGTTTTCCAACCGAAGAAAAGGAAAAACTTGAACGAACAACAACAACCCCGGAAAACCAAAAAAAAAATGAAACCGAAAAGTTCCGGGGCAAGAACAAACCGCCGGAAGGAAAAAAAGGCAAGAAAAAAACCCAAACAAGGCCAAATTAAAAACAAGAAACAAACTTAATGAAAAGGAATTCCTTTCAAGAAAAACAAAACCTTGCCCAACCCGGAAATCAAAAAAAAAGGAAAACCTTAAAAGAACCAAGCAACAAGAAAAAAGGGAACGGGAAAAACCTAAGCCTAAGGAAAACCGGTTCCAAAAACCAAAAACAAGAAAACCAAGTTTAAAAAGGGGGGGGAACCGGGGCCGGTGCCAAAAGAAAATCAAAAACAATTCAAAAAGGAAGAAAGGGAAGAACCGCAAGTTGCCTTCCCGGGGAAGAAAAAACCTCCGAAGAAGGAAGTAACAACCCCCCGCAACAACCCGCCCCGGGAAAACCAACAAGGAAAGCAAGGGGGCCAACAATAACCGAACCTTTAAGAACAAAGAAAAACAAGCAAAACCGGCCCAAAAAAATTGCCGCCGGTTCAAGCAAGGGGGCCGCAACCGGAAGGCAACCTAATTTAAGCCCCGGGGGGCAAAAAGAAAAAAATTCAAGAAAACCTGGGAAGGGCAACCGAAAACCCCGAAGGCCCCAATAAAACTAACAAAACGGGCAACTTGCCGGGCAACGGGGAAAACAACAAAAGGCCGGAACCCCTTAAGCCGAACCGTAAAACAAAAGGAACCCCCGCAAGAATCCCCCGAAAGAAAAAGGGCAAAAACCAAAAAAAACCCGCAAAACAAGGCCGGGGGAAGAAAAAGTGGCAAAAACGGAACCAAAAAAAATGCCTTGAAAAAGTTTTTTTTTTTTTTTTAAAGTCATATTTTCAAACTGTTGCATCATCTCCTCTGTATAATCTATAAATCTCTGAGCATCTGTGTCATTATAATCACAGTAACAATCGACACAATCCTCCTGTCTTCATTTAGCACGCTAGGTTACAAAAATCTTGAGTGCATCACCAACAGAAATGACAGATTCCAATTTGCCTGGCATGAGACAGTGGGTATAATGGGGCCCTGATAGACTGTAAAACTATTCAAGCTCATTAGTCCAACATGTGTGGCATTATACATCTTATAATTACAAAATGGGTATAGGACTGTTACAAAAGAAAATACCTGAAAGGTGATTTTACACATTCACATTTTTTATCAGATTAGATGCCACATACTAAATTGTTATAGCCACTACCAGTTTTATTAATGTACCAGTTTTGGCTTTTAATCAAAAGTTTTGATGGTGAGGTTAATTTTGCACACTGCACTCCCCTCCAGAAGTGAGCAGCAAGTCAGCATGGATCACATGAACATCAATTGAGGATGCAGAGAGTTACAAGGACTTGTGTGGTTCCAGGCACCTTTATTGTTCCATTGGTGATAAACAGTACACTGATGACAACAATGGAAATCTGTTACCCTACAAAGTAGTTAATGCACTTATGACTGGTGGAGAATAGTTCAAATAAAGACAGCATACTCTCTTTTGGAAATCATGTTAGAAAACTGGACATGATAGCCAAGGGGTGGATGTGACTAAGAATCCAAGAGACACTGCACACTCAAAATGAATCACCAAAGTAGTCATACATCAAAGCATTCTTATATTTTACACCAAATGATGATTTAATAAATTAACCCTGTGACATCTTAAACAAGACTTGAAACTAGCGATAGAGCTTGTAAGTCTCCTTCCTCCTCCTCATCCCCAACCGGTCACAGCAGATGGATGCCCCTCCATGAGACTGGTTCTTCCCTTTAGCAGGGAGTTTTTCCTTCACACAGGAGGTTGTCTGATTGTTGGGGGTTTCCCTGTATTATTGTAGGGTCTTTACCTTACAATATTAAGTGAATTGAGTGTGACTGTTTTGGTGATTTGAGGCTATACATATAAAACTGAATTGAATAAACCCCTCAGAAATGTGTTCATTGAGGTCGAAGATAAAGTGAAAAGTAACATTTTTCCCTCACAGAATTCTGTACAAGGACTCTTCTTTTGGCAGTCAAAGGAGTTGCCTCTTTCTGAACATTAGAAAGAATGCCATTTTCAATCACTCACAATAATTTAACCTTTGTGTATGTCAGTGGTTGCAATATTTGGCCTGTTACACAATATTTGTAAGTCATTAGACAAATCTTTTCTTGATTGAAGCTGATTTGTATAATTGGCTACCATTATTCTTTTTTCCACAGGCTGAAGCAGAGGGTTTTTCCCACTTCCACTTGTACGTCTGTGCTGCTTTCCTCATTAAGTGGCGCAAAGAAATCCTGTCCATGGTTGACTTTCAGGTACATTTGTCTATGTCATCCAGTCACGGCAGAGAAACTAATATGACCCATTTAAGCCAGACTGGCGGACAAGGGCGGAGTCTTCTGAGTTAAAATTAATCAACTTTACTTTGTAAAAGTTTAAATCACATCATTTGTAGTTCTTCTTCAATTTTGATGCTGGTCTAACTTGTTTTTGATCAATCATAAGATAGCCACTTCCTGCATCATATCCTGCTTTTATGTGTATTTTACTCTTAATGGTAGCATAATTTATTACCAAATAAATCTGCTGCAATTGGTAAGACTTGAAACTAGTGACTAAGATGATGAACTAGAGCAGAGGTGTCGAACTCCAGGCCTCGAGGGCCGGTATCCTGCAGGTTTTAGATGTGTCCTTGATCCAACACAGCTGATTTAAATGGCTAAATGACCTCCTCAACATGTCTTGAAGTTCTCCAGAAGCCTGGTAATGAACTAATCATTTCATTCAGGTATGTTGACCCACGGTGATATCTAAAACCTGCAGGACACCGGCCCTCGAGGCCTGGATTTCGACACCCCTGAACTAGAGCAAGGGAGCAGTAGGTTTAAATACTGTAATTTGATTTCCTTTTCTTTCATCCTTCTAAACATCAACATGTCAGTGTAATCATTTATTTACGGAGCCCCGCAGGGGACATGGGAGGAAAAAAAATTAAGTTTGTTTTGCGAGTTTGTTTTGCGAGTTTATTTTGCGAGATCTCGCAAAGGTTTTAGCCGCATTCTTCGGAGGCCGCCAGCTCGAAGCCAACCGGGAGGTCGAGGCACAATGTGCCGGGAAAGCGGTGTTCCTCCCGGCTGTAGTAGGTCTCGACCTCCCGTTAGCTTCGAGATAGTGGGTGTCAGATCTCCAAAAACGTCGGAGCACTTTTGCAAATATGTGATGTCTTGTAAACCGAGCAGGTATCTGACGTTTACACAACTACATTCACGCCTCAAAATATCTTACTAGTGTATTTTGTGACCCAGAAAGAGTAATATTACAACTAAGTAGGTGCCGCCATTGTTGGAATTCAACTTTTGCGAGATCCCGAGTTTCTTTTGCAAGATCTCGCAAAACTTTTGCGAGATCCCAACTTTGTTTTGCGAGATCCCAAGTTTGTTTTGCGAGGTCTCGCAAAAGTTTTGTGAGATCCCGGGTTTGTTTGTTTGTTTGTTGTTTGTTTCGCAAAAGTCCGTCTTAATTTTTTTTTCTCCCATGTCCCCTGCGGGGCTCCGTATTTATTTGATCACCAGAAAATAAAAGTGTTGCTTGTAGTTTTGTAGTAGGTTTACCAACCAAGTATGCATGTACATCTGCTAAGTTTTATATGCTAACCCATATGTTACGTTTGACAATGAAAGGCTTTGTATCTCCAACTTTCAAAACACTGAGTGTCTTAAGGACTCTCTCTTGCTCTTTAGGGTCTCCTCATGCTACTGCAGAACCTTCCTACAATCCACTGGGGGAATGAAGAAGTCGGTCTCCTCCTGGCTGAAGCTTACAGGCTCAAATACATGTTTGCAGATGCTCCCAGCCACTACAAGAGATAAGCCCAATGCTTCCGCACCAGGGAAAATGCTGCATTTTGACTTTTAAAAATCAATTTAAACCTTGAGTGGGCAACTTCGGTGTCTGTGATGCACATCAGGTGCTGTCTCTGAGGTAACGTAAAAGAGACTGACGGGATGTTATGTCAGTGATATCAACTTTATCCTGTGAAAATGAAGTCCAGTGAATATTAAGTGGATTTGGGGCTTACATTGCACACAGCTCAGTGAATATGGGACTATTTTGCAGGCAGTGTTGCACTGCAACGGTGGACTGTGACAGTATAAAAAACAACTCGACTATGCCACTCTGGTTTACTTATACTGTTTTTGGTCATCTCTTATGTTCACTGTAAGCGTGAAAGAAGACACTGTAATATAGTGGGATGATGAATGTTTGTGAGATCATCCTTTTAGTGAGAAATGGTATCTAAAGATTATATTTTTTGCATTTTTTGTTTTACAAGGGACAATATTGGGTATAAAGCAGGCAACTGGAATACAAAGCTTAGTTTTACATTGTCTGGCTGGCAGTCCCCTTTCTTTGTTAAATAGATGCTTTTTGGTTTAACCAAAATCGCTCTGTACGATCAGCATCTTTAAAGCCGCGACTGATATTCTGGGTTGTAATTAGTAAGTATTACCTATGAGTAGCAAATAGAAGGTATTGTATTTCATTTTTTAGGTTGTGTTTGGGGTGTAAAGCAAAAAGACTGATTTGGTATCAATATCACTTTTAATTTCTAAATCACTGTGAAGAACGGAGGTATAGTTTGGAAATAACAACAACTGTAAAGTTAGAGTTTTATTTAAAAATCTAAACTTAGCACTGTTCAGATCTTTCCTGAACCTGAACTGTGCTAAATTAATTCAGTAGCTGCTTAAAATTGTAGTAAAGTTTATACAATTGTGATCCAGTTTTTGATGAAGATTGCAGATTGTCACACTGCATCAACACAGCTTGTCAGTTTTGGCCTGAGGGTGGAGGTTTTACCCGAAGTGTTTCAAGAGATACCTGTCAGTGTAAAATCTGTGCATAATTACAAGTGATGAAAAACATTCATTAACATCAGTTATACAGAATATTTACAATCAGTATGTTTTAATTGGAGGAAATGCCTGTGTTGGTATTGAAAGTCATTATGCTATCTGAATGCAGCTCCACATCCCTGACAATACCCTATAGAGCATTGGTAAAGTACACATACAGTGTAACGCTTTCCTGACATGCTCCATGAAACTTTATTTGTGCAACAGTGTTTTTCTTCTTTCTTTTTTCTTCTTTCTTTTTTTTTTTAAATATGATTGTGTGCGTTACAACTCATCTACCTTCATTGCCAGTGATAATAATAGTGCAACATATGTTTGAAAGGTATGACAACACTCTTATACTTTGTGCATCTAATAGAAAGAAAATCAATCTAAGTTGGGTCATCTGCTTCACTCTTTAACCTGATTCATTCTGGACCAAAGTCTCTGTTGGAAAGTTGTGACACCCAGCTGATGGATGCCACCGTCATCACCATAGATCACAGCAGACTGAATGGAGCAACATTGTTCACGAGTCTTAATCCATTTCAACTATAACTGGAGTTCTGAGCTACTTAATGGCATTTTATTCAGTGAAGTGCTACTGAAGACATGATGGTGAAATAGATTCTCCTTTATTTATGAAGGAACACCAGTCTTGTCCACTATTTATCAGTCATCAGATTTCCATAATCAATCTTCATCTACCACCTTGAATGTTTTTTGGAGTTTTACAGTATGCGTGTAGCCTTAAAGTCACTTTCATTCATTCAGGTGAGCCGCATGATTGTCATTACTGTGACTCCATTCTGGGGTTTTTTGTGTTTGTTTGTTTGTTTGTTTGTTTGTTTGTTTTAATTTAAAGGTCATTCTGTTAAAAAAATGTGATGTTATTAACTAAAGACTAACAAAATGTTTTTTTTCCATGCAGCTACAACAACAAATCCAATCTTTATTGGAACAGTACAGCCTGTTTTACAGAGTGCTTCACTAGTCAATGCTGGCTTCAGCCTTAAATGAAGACTTCTCAGTCTCAGCTGTATATTCACCTTTTCTGATGATATTAAACAAACAACATGTGTGTACATGGATTGGGTTGATATATTATTTTATAGCACCATTTAAAGCACGCAATTCCAACGTGCTTCACATTTATGATGAAATCTATGTGAGGAAAAATTATACAAGCACATATAGTGATGTGAAAAAGTATTTGCTGTCTTCCTGGTTTGTTTGTTTTTTTTGGGGGGGGGGGGGGCATTCAAAGTGGTTTTTGCTACAGTAGGTCATTCACCCAATCACACACACATTCATATAAACTTAACAAAAAAATTGTATATGAATGTAGTAAAAACCACTTTGACATAAAAATATTACATCATTTCATAAGAAGAACGTCATCCCAGCCATCATCAACTCAACTGTAATTGATGGAACCATGAATTCTGCTCTCTACCCGAAAGAATGAATTTCTCACCGTCTGTTCATGCCCTGAAGCTCAAGCACACTTAATAATTCAGACAAAAATTCAAAATGCACCAGCAAGTTCACCTGTGAATGACTAAAAAAAGTTTTTTGAGTGGCCTAATCAAAGTCCAGACTTAAACCTGATTGAGATGCTTTGGTGTGACTTTAAACAGGCGGCTTCTGCTCAAAAACCTTTGTGTGTGGCTGAATTGAAATGCTTATGCAAAGAAGAGTGGGACAAAATTCTTCCACAGCGATGTGAGCCACTGTTCTTGATTGTCGCTATTCCTGCCAGGGGTCGCATGTAATTACTATTTTAAATTAAGTTTGGATAGCTTTGTTCCCTTAATAAATGAAATCATCATTTAAAAACTGCATTTTATACTTACTTGGGTTGTTTCTCTAGTTTTAAAATTTTTCTTGAGTATTTCTGTGTGACAATAATTTATTTCAGCCATTCATTTTCTTCTTTTTTTCCAAGTCAGGAAAGGGGGAAGGGTCACCAGGCAAAAGGTGGAGTAATCCTCCACGAGTCGCCAGTATATCACAGGACTAAAACACACAAACAGTCAGTCATTGCATTTGTACAGCGCTTTTCGAGACCCTCAAAGCGCTTTACAATTCCACTATTCATTCACTCTCACATTCACACACTGGTGCAGGCAAGCTACAGTTGTAGCCACAGCTGCCCTGGGGCAGACTGACAGAAGCGAGGCTGCCATATCGCACCATCGGCCCCTCTGGCCAACACCAGTAGGCGGTAGGTGAAGTGTCTTGCCCAAGGACACAACGACAAGGACAGACAGAGCTGGGGATATCTCCACCAGCAACATTAAAGTGATATATATACAAAAGAATCAATTTTATGATCCAATAAGAATAACTAAATAATCAGTAATTTACTTTAAGTACTCTAATTATAAACGCCTAAAAATATTTACAACTTTTTCTTACGTTACCAGTTTCCTACATTATAATCTATTCTTTCTGATGAAATATGATTTCTTTGGGCTTTCCCTGCTTTGTTCTAATTCCCATCTGTAACATGGTCGATATGAATCTGGAAACACCCTTGTTGAAAGGGGCAGAGAACATTTTTGATTTTATGTCTTTTTAATAGTTAATTAGGGGTCAGCAACTGCTGGCATTAATTTAAAAAAAATTAGTAAATTGTTTTGGTTTGAAAGTCCTTTTAATTGTAACTAGCAAGACTGTAAATGGGCTGGATAAGAGAGAGGAGAAGCATCATACCTACAGTCACTGCGCATACCTGAGAACTCAAACTCCAAAGTGGGTAAGTGACGTGCCGGAAGTGACCCGGACCCAGTGCTAAGAAAACTTGGCTTTCAGTTTAGCAGTCATGCCAGTGTGGTTTGTGTTAAAGAATCCCATTAATAATGCAACGCACTGTCTGAATCTATTCACTCGTCAATACAGCCGCTGCACTGCTCCTGTCTGAGTGCCAAGGTAAGCTAGTTAACAAGCGCAAGTGTGCATTTCTGACGTGTTGGCGAGGCTAGCAGCGAGCTAACCTTAGCAAACACAAAGCTAGCCCGTGGTCGCAGCTGTGTTGTTGTAAGGTTTACCGTTGTAGAGGCTCAGACTTATCACTAAACTGATACCTATCGTCTCAGTCTGTGTTGTCCAAATAGAATAGAAGAATAAAACTTAGCGACCAGTAATTCAGAATGTCAACAAAAAAGAGGAACAAGTTAAATAGAAGGCACGTTTCCCCTCATCCTACAGAGCTTGGCTAGCTGTTGACTGCAGGCGTGGTGCCATTTAGCTTACAACCAAAACACTTCTCAGTACCTTAGCCTTTTAGATCTTGTGTCTGAGTGAATTAAAGGCTAGCTGCTCAAACCTCTTGTGTCTCCATAAAAGCCAGGAGAAAGCTTGGTGAAGGAGGATGGATGGAGTCAGCTGGAGTACTACAAGGTCCCAGGAGTCATTTGGTCGCTCCAGCTCAGCCACAGACACTCTGTCAAGGCTTGCCACCTTTATCGCTAGGGCAGAGACAAAACAGCACACACGAACCCAGAGGCAGCGTCTGCCCCAGCAGCCCACCTATCTGTGTCAAGAATGTGGTAACGCCTTTCCTTATGCCACAGATCTGTTACAACACCAGGAGTCTGAACACACACTGCCCAAGCCTCACCGGTGTCCCTCGTGTGGCCAGGAGTTCTCCCTGAGGTCATCCTTACAGCTACACAAGTGCGAGTCCACATGCTGCGAGCTTTGTCATGGGATGTCGCTATTTGGTTCCCCCTGCTCTACGTGCGCAACTCACACTTCTGATCCTGGCAGCCCCCTGGACAAGCCACTTCACCGCCAGCCTCATCACATGGACCGCAGCCCATATGCGTGTGCCCCGTGTGGGAGAGGTTTCAGCCAGAAGCAGGCTCTGCTGCAGCACCAACAGGCCGGCTGCAATGAGCTGCCGTCCCTGTCCGATATAGCTGATGCCAGCAGACTCCCTGACGGCTCTTCACCTGTTTCTGAGGGGGATTCCACTCGCTCTGATTCTTCAGATACTCCAGGGCCCAGTGGCCGAGCTATCAACACGTGTCAACTCTGCTCAAGAGTCTTCCGCTCAGAAGCTGCACTGCAACGCCATGAACAGGCCAGCCATGCAGAGGAGCAAAGTGCCACCGATGGGGAGGTGAGGAAAGGAAGGAGTGCTAAGGTGGATGAAGAGGCAAGCAAGAGTTCAAAATCTCAAAAAAAGCTGCTGAGCTGTCGCTCCTGTGACATGGTTTTCAGGAGCACCTCTAAACTGTACATGCACAGAAAAGAAAAGCACAGTAGAGAGAAGAATGTCAGGAGGGAGCCGAGGCCAGTCGTCATCAAGCGGAGGAAAGCAGGCACGTATCCCTGTCAGGTCTGCGGAAAAGTCTTTGTCCACCATTTATCGCTTAGGGCACACTACAGACAGCATACAGCCTTGAGCTTGGTGGCTATCAAAAACAAAAGCAAGACTGTAGGATGTACCACCAAAGACTCATCCAAACTATCAGAAAACAGACCAAATAAAGCCAAAACCAGCCTCGCTGAGATTAAGACAGTCAGGGCTGGCCCAGGGAGACCCAGGAAAGTCATTCGACAGTTGACCAAGAAAGGTGTTTCAGGGAGATGCACAGAAGTGCCTGAAGCTCAGGAGGAGGTGGAGAGAGATTTCCCGTGCCCCTCCTGTGCAGAGGTTTTCTCTCTGCAGCAGCAGCTAAAGGAACACATGGAGCTCCACCAAACCTCCATGAAGAGGAGACAGTGCAGTGTGTGCACCACCGAGATGGACACGTGCAAATGGCCAGGCTCCAGGAGGCAGAGGCTGTACCACTGCGTGCCCTGCCAGCAGGGGTTCTCTGCACTTGACTCTTTCCTAGAACACTGTCAGGAGCACCTTCGAGTTAGGGTGGAGGAGGACAGCTTGACAGAGGGCTACACGCATCAAGCCGACAAAGCCTGACGTGTCAGTGTGAATGTCATCAGCAATCCGCCTTTTTGCCTTGAAGGGTTAGACAGAGGGGAGTGATGAAATCTCTGTGAAATTCTTGTTGAGTCACGAGTTCACTGATTGAGAATTCAGAATATATTGCTTTTGTACCCCAAACTCGGGCTTTGTTATCCAAACCATATCAACAGTTAAAAAGAATGTCTTATTAAGCTTTTATTTAGCCCTTTACCATGAATTTTATTTTCTCTTGCAAGACTCATTGAAAAGCACAGTGTGGATATCAGTTTGTCTAAGATCCATCACAGCAGCTTTTAAAGGGAGGTTTAATCAGTGTTTGTACATCTGAGAACAGGACATCTTCTCAGATGCGTCTTGCAGAGCAACCATGCATTAACAAGTTGCATTGTAGTGAAATACAACAAAGAAGAATTACACAGAATATGTGTTTGTTGTTTAGCAGCAGCAGCCTTTAAGATGAGCCTCAGCTTTATTACAGCAAGACTGATGATATGAAATTGAACATAAAGCTAATATTTTCACTGTGAAGGACTGTTGTCTGCAAATTTTCACTCTATAATGCATTGAAAACTGTAGAAGCCAGAACAGTTTGATTTTGATTCGTTTGATCCATTCAAAGTATCCAAACCTTTAAACCCAGGAGTCCCTCTTTCAGACCAGTTGTTGTCTGTGTATCCACTTTTATACCACAGAGTGGTATAAAAACTTCCACAAATTGTCTGCTTTTCCTTTTATTTTTTCTTTTAATTAAGAATGGTAGCTTATGATCCTGGAAGATGGTCTCACCACTTGGCAGCAACTGGGCTGGTTTAATTCCAGCCAGATACACAAAGCCCCTTTGGGGTTGTATTAGGGAGGCCATAAAAAGAGCATAAAACTCTGCCAGTCAAACTTGTGGAGTCACCCACTGTGGCGATCCCTTTTGAGAAGGGAGCAGCTGAAAATGGCTGTTAATAATAACATCAGTTGTGTAAAGGTTCCTGGACCTTGGATAAACTTCCCAGCTCTTAGAGTTTGAACTGTTCATTTCTAATCAACCCCATTTTCCAAAAACAGGTTGGGATTTGCTCGCATGCTCAAAGTGGAGCTAAGCTCATCTTTGCCTCAGGGTTTTGTTTTTTGTTCTTTTGAGAAATGAGGCCATCTGCTCAACTGTGGTACATTCTGGCCAGAACACTGCCTGACAAATTGTTTGCCACTTGTCTAGTTTTTGTTATGTTTTCTGCTGTATTTTCTTACAAATTTGGCAATAATTATTCATCAATTGTGGTGTGTGAACTTGTCGTGTTGTCAGTCTTGTGTCCCGAACGTGAGTATTAGCAGCACTACTTAGAGCACTGGGTGGAGGTTCATTTCTTTGCTCGAGAGATAAAATGCAGCCCCAGGGTCTGAATGAGATTGTAGTGTGTAACACTGTTTGTTTACATGCTGTTTCCTAATATTTTATCATGGAAGAGAGATCGCAGTAATCTATACAGTGAGCAAACTTGGCTTTCATGGATAACTCTACCCGAAACAATGCCTTTCATAATGCCCCTGCTTTTTAGCTTGCATGAGCTCTGGTCGTATTTCCTAACTATGCAAACAGATGGACTGACGGCAGCCCTTCAGTGTGTCTACGATGCTCAATAAGTGCGCTTTGGTGAATAAACTTAAATCAACATGATTTTTTTTTTCTAAAGTATTTTCAACTACTGTTTTCAAAATGCGACTGTGAACATGTAGAAGATACGTTTCTAGGTTTTGAAGTTTCTACTTTTCTGAGGTCTTTTGTAAGTTGGTGTGTATGGCTCTTTGCAGATGACATAAATAAAATTTAACAGTTGTCAGATGTTTTCTTTGCATCATTTCTGCTGTTCTAATTCTGTGAATTTTCAAACTGACTGCATGCCACAGCCATGCAGCAGACTGATAGTAATTAATGGATGACAGTTGAAATTAGCAAGGGCAAATTGCAAAAATTATACCATAATTTGATTTTATTCAAAGTGGTTTAAAGTTATTTCATTTCTACTCAAATATATACATTTATTTTTGATGATTTTAGCTAGTTTCTAGGTTCAGATAATATAAATCATTATTAAAATTGCAGGTCGCAGCTAAAAGCTCTTCTATTTGTATTCTGAACATAGTCAACAGTATAACAACTAATGGCCATGAAGCTTACACATTACTCTTAAAGCAGGAACAGTAAAACAATGTTATAAAATGCAATAATGTACATTAGATTCATTATTAAAACAATAGTTACACTAATATGATTTTCCTCAAATTATTAAATGTATTTGTCAACAAATAATGGTTGTCATTGGGCCCACTTGGTCTTATAGCAAAACACCCCCCAAAAAACTGAACATACACTGGATTTTCCTCACCCAACCATAAATGGGGTTTACAAAGAATGGTCTAAAAAAGAGAAAACACCCAGTAAGTGAACAAAATTTCTCTGGGTGAAAATGCTTTGGCATAGTGCTTCGTCAGGCCAGACAGTAACAATAATTCAAATTACCACTGGTTACAACCAAGGTATGCAGAACAGCATCTCTGAATGCACAACACGGACAATGAAGCAGATGTGCTGCAGCACCATCAGAACTGAACGGGTGGCACTTCTGTGAGCTAAGAACAGGAAACTGACACTATGAATCAACCAGGCTCACTAAAAGTGGACATTACTGGGTTAGAAAAATGTTACCTGGTTTGATGAGTTTTGATCCCAGGCTGCAACATTTGGATGGCAGGGTCAGAATTTTGCCTAAACATCAAAGTATGAATCTATCCTGCCTTTTATCAACAGGAAAGGCTGTTTCTGGTGGTGATGTGAGGGATATACTGTGATAATTGCATTTAAATAAATGATTTGAATATTTCTTCCACTACTACCGGTATATGCATTCAAAGCTGGCCGGCTCTCCCTCCTCCTGTCCTCATGGCGGCGCTGTGAGGAAAACGCAGAAGGTCCACTATGAGAGTTCACCAATGAAGTTCCGGTTGTCGGCGCACGCTTTCCTTCCGCGGTTTCGTGAAACGAAAAGATTGCGAACGAGTGCTTCGGCGTCCAGAAAATACAGCTAAAATGAGTAAAGCACACCCACCCGAGCTGAAGAAGTAAGTCAATGATCTTTGATAAATAAACGCGCACTGGTTATTTTGTACCTGCTTCTTGTTTCCTGTATAGCAGATCTGGTACATTGTTTGTAATAGCCACAAGCTAACATTAGCTAACATGCCTGTGAAGAAACTGTGACCATGTAACCGATGCTGATGGGTTTCTTTTCCAGGTTCATGGACAAGAAGCTTTCATGTGAGTATGACTCCAAGCACAGATTCAAATGCAGCCGGAATGTTAAAAGTGAATCTGTTCCTGTCTTTCGTTGTTTTTGAGCAACAGCATGAAATATCAAAGTGATGTTATTGAATAATTTCAGTAATTACGTTTTCATCTGGTACACTTCACAAAGCCGCCTTCGATGACCTCTGCTCCCTGTTTGTTCAGGATCTCATAACAAAGAGCAGACATGTAGTGCAGGCAATACACATGGGGGGGGGGGGGATTTATTTTAATACGCGCAGCGTGTTGTGTTGCTGGGAAGTACTGCTAGAAATGCGATGGTTAGGACAAATGTTGATATATTGTATAACTTGCACAGACCTTATAACCCCTACTGTCTTTCATTGACACTATACTATAATTGTGAGATGTCTTTATGGTCTTAAAAGTTGGAAAATAAGCTTGTTGTAACCCTCGGAATAATAAGTTCATTCCTCACACTGGGTAAGTCAAGTACCTTTCATAGATGTGGACTCAAAAGTTAGGTTATGTGATAGCATAAATATGGATGTCTTATTTTGCTGTATGTAAATATTCGTGGTAGTATGTGGACAATCTAAACTTTGAGTTTAAAGATGGATCAGTCTCAGAAATAAATGAACTGAGCAGTTTGTAAAATTCCTCATAGTGATTTATTTTTTTCTCCTTTCAGTGAAGCTGAATGGAGGCAGACATGTGCAAGGCATCCTGCGGGGGTTCGACCCTTTTATGAACCTGGTGGTGGATGACTGTCTGGAGATGGGCCCCGGAGGACAGCAGAACACAATTGGCATGGTGGTCAGTACCTTTGTCTTTCTTAATTTTCTGTATTGTCACCAAAGGCCATTAACCCATTCCTTCTGTTCATTCTTTAGTTTGTGCATCCAACCAAAGAAAAGTTGTGCGCTTAAGATAAGCACAGCATTGTTATCTTCAAGCAGTCTGCTCTCCTCTTAACTACAGCTTGCTTATTTACGAGAGAGTTCTGGTTATAATGGTGTCAGACTTCATATTTGCCACGGTCTGAACATGCTGCAAAGCACTCACATTAAGACCCCGATCTTTCTTGATAGCTTTAGCTGTAGTATATTAACAGGATTGCCAATATTCATTTGCACGTGAACCCTTTGCATTTTGGCACACTCTGTTTCAGCAGCAGTACAAATTGAAATCTGCATGATATCATCACAAAATAAATATTTTGTACCTGATTAAAGCCCTGTTTTTCCATCATGTTAGTCATTTCCATCCACCGTTTGCTCTTCCTGTCATATGGAGTGCAAAGAGACTTGGTGGAGTCATTTGTATACATTTTGGTTGCATATCATGTGCTACTAGTATTTCGTCCTTTGTAACCTGGTTGTACTTGACGGTTTGGTTTTAGCTCAGCTGGTGGAACAAGTTTTAGGCCCTTATTTCACAGACATTTAGCATGTCCCCGATAACATTAACCATGACCTGAACAACGTCAGATTGTTATGCTTGTTTTATTCTTGAGTGGGAGTAGCATGAACGCAGTTCCTGGGCAATCACAGACTGCCTGCAGAGAGTGTTTGTTGTTGATGGAGTATCACAAATATGTATTACAACCTGTGCATGGGCCACACTTGCATGTGCTGTCGTTGTTCCATCAGCCAGCCTTGGAGAAGTATAAAGTTCTCAATACAACGAGTTGATCAAATCAAATCACTTTTATTGTCACATCACATGTGCAGGTACATTGGTACAGTACATGTGAGTGAAATTCTTGTGTGCGAGCTTCACAAGCAACAGAGTTGTGCAAAATACAATAATGTAAACAAGCAAAATACAAGAATGGCTACATCTGAAACTAATAAATATATGTACAATATATAATAGTATATGCATTTCTGGATGTGTATACTAAATATTTTTCTACGTGTGTGTGTGTATACACATATTTTACAAATTAAATAGAGTAAACAATAAGTAAAATATATAAAAATATACAGAGTTGAGACATGTGCAAAACAGTGGCATTAATGTACAGTATGGAGTGCATAATGTTGAAGTTCTAGTAGTGAAGGTGAGGTGTCTATGACGTGTTCAGCAGTCTGATGGCCTGGTGGAAGAAGCTGTCTCTCAGTCTGCTGGTACGGGACCGGATGCTGCAGAACCTCCTTCCTGATGGAAGTAGTCTGAACAGTTTATGGCTGGGGGGACTGGAGTCCTTGATGATCCTCCCCGCTTTCCTCAGGCACCGCTTCCTGTAGATGTCTTGGAGGGAGTGAAGTGAAGTGAACAGTGTGTTCAAAAACAACGAAAAGTGTCCACTGCAGTCACTGTCTGTACTTTTCTTTTCATGTTTGTGTCATACCCTTTCCTGCCGAACTCCACAATCGTGCCCTCCCCGTTTCTGGCCCACTTGTCAACCTGTGAGCATTTGAACAACACATATGTCTTCCACATCCAGTGACATGCTGTTGGGACTGTTTGGTGAACTGCACGATAGCACACTTGTGGAATTGTGTTCACATACCATACATTATTAGTTATACCTGCATCTGCTGCTGTTTGCTCCAGGAAATCATTTTCATTCATTTCAAAACCATCCCAACTCGGTTTGAAGCAGGAATTATACCGTCAGCAAGTCCGCTAGGGTATACTCAGGTCCCACTGATATAAATTTCATCATGAGATGGTTAGGGCAGTTTGTGCCTGCCTGCTTTTTGTGACTGTGTGGACTCTGTGTCTGTGTCTGTGGATGATTTACTTTACACTAAGTACACATTCTCCCCAGGCAATGAACTACAAACAACACGAATGAGTGCTCAGCTGTTCAGTATAATTTAGGCTTTAAAATGTCAAGAAAAGCTGTTTGCTTTACCTTCTATGAATAAGATACTAAATTCTGTTTAGATTTGGAAAGCTCAGTGCTTTATTTAAAACCTTTAGGACATTTGTCATGATGGTAGTGTGTTTACTCTGTGTGGTGTTGTTTCTCACAGGTCATCAGGGGAAACAGCATCATCATGCTGGAGGCCTTGGAGAGAGTATGAGAGCGGAGGAGGCACCTGAAGAAAATGATCCCTACATTTTGTTTTTTTTGTTTTGTTTTTTTGTTGGGGTTTTTTTTTTGTTTGTTTGTTTGTTTTTTACATTATTGTCCCTTTCTGGCTCCTCAGTAAGGAGACAAAGCATTTGAATTGTGAGATGATAGATACAGTCTTTTTGTTTGGATTTTTGAAATGTGTGATCTTGTGAATAAATCAGTTTTCTTTGTAATTGGTTTTCTGCATTCAGTTTATATCACATTACCACAATACAACAAGTTATTGTTCTGTTACTGTCAACATGTTACTATAGCAACAGGCAGAGGAAGCTGCACACTAAATATGATGATAAGAGTCCAGCTGGACCGATATAAAATACTGTGCAACACCCTTATTTCTTCATATTCTCCCCACTAAGAGACAGATTTTCTTAGAAATTTTAAGTGATTCTCTGGGCCTTCGGAAGCTAAAAGTTTTTCTTTGGAGATTGGCTGCTGCTGAGCTCATTTATACCTGCCTATTTTCAAAAGAAGGAGAAAACCAAATACATGTTGAATTTAGGTATGCACTTAGCCACTGCCTTTTACAAAAAAGTAATTTATTCCTGCTGCTTCAGAATCTACAAAGATAGCAGCCTGACAGATGTAAAAGAGTGGGGGGGGGGGGGTCACCAATGATGTGATGCCCAAAGAGCTGTTAACTGAATATTTGAGCCAAGATTGTGTCAAGTGTGTGCTTAAAAATTTTTGGGAAAAACAAACAAGTGAAGGATTAAAGGAGTGGCAGGCCTAAAGCGCTACAGCAGCCAAACAGTATCTGAATGTCATGTCCTTAAGAAATAAAAGAAGAATCCAGCAGAGATCTGGCACAGGTCCTTTACTGACCCATCTACTGTTCACCAAAGACTCGTCAGAAATGGTCTGAGTGGAAGAGTGGCTGTCAACAAGTCATCCTTAAGGAAGACAAACAGGCAGAAAAGGCTGAGGTATGCGTGTTCACATAATTTCCTTAGGGATTATTAAAGGATTCTGATTTGACATTAGAAGTGGCTTGAAAATCAGTGGCAACAGGCCATGTGAAGTGAGTGAAATTTGATCAGTCAGTCATGGTTTGGTGTCCCCAGAGCTCAGCCAACATTAGTGAAGCAGTGTGGGATCATGTTGACAGAGAATGGGACAAAAGTATGGGCTCAAAATGTGGTCATAAATATTTTGTACTTGTAAAAAAGATTTGTGTGTGGACTTAGAAAAGAAACCCCTGCAAGTTACAAGTACGGATTTTTGACCCTATTTTTCTTCCTTTCATCTGATTGGTCAATGTCATGTCAATCACAAATGTAACAATCCAATCAGAGAACAGATGGGTTTGGCTGTCAGAGGGGCGCTTTTTTTGAACTGCAGGTCTTTGAAGGGAATAAATGCCCTTTTACATGCCAACCCAGCGTTTTCCTTCATCACCACGAAGGAAAACAGTCTGTGGTCGTCCGAGTTTGGTGATTTTTGTGTCACAGGTCTACGTGTTTAATACAGGGACTTCCACAGCCTTTTCAACAGCGCTGCGGACCGCGGGGTGGGGGCGGGCAGTGTTTTGGAAATGACAGTCTTCATTACAAAGCTTTCTTCGTTATGAATTAGCATACATGTTTTTATTGAACATTTGAAGAACTAGCAAAAAAAACAAACTCTTGTAGAGGACATAAAGTCAGAGATAGAAAAGACAAGGAGCAGGTGCATCTAGTACAGGTAGAGCTGCTGCAAAAACCCACAGAGCCCAGCAGCCAGCGTAACAAATTCTGGATCCTTTGCTTTTAGTTAGCAGTTAGCATTAGCAGCGTATCCTGCATCCGATGTGAAAGGACTTTTATGCTGCGCACTGTGACTCACAGCAATGGTCCTGGGTCAGCCCTGACTTTGTGTTAAACTAATCCTAAAGTAATAATGTTATTTCTAACCACTGATATACCACAACTTTTTCCTTTCAACAGCTACTGAAAGTTAGGGGACCTAGCTGCTATCGGATATTTATATAGCGATCCTCCAGCTTCAAACGGTATCACCCTTCAAGGACCTGCAGTTCAAAAAAGCGCCCCTCCGACAGCCAAACCCATCTGTTCTCTGATTGGATTGTTACATTTGTGATTGACATGACATTGACCAATCAGATGAAGGGAAGAAAAATAGGGTCAAAAATCCGTACTTGTAACTTGCAGGGGTTTTTTTTCTAAGTCCACACACAAATCTTTTTTACACATACAAATCTTTTTTACGCACACACAAATTCTTTTTTACACATACAAATCTTTTTTACGCACACACAAATCTTTTTTACACATACAAATCTTTTTTACGCACACACAAATCTTTTTACACATACAAATCTTTTTTACGCACACACAAATCTTTTTTACACATACAAATCTTTTTTACAAGTACAAAATATTTATGACCACATTTTGAGCCCATAGTTTACTGCCAGTTGTTCTACATACACAAAACAAAAACAGCAATGTCATTCCTTTTCAGTAGCATGTCTCCCAGACTGCAGCAGCCAACAAATGCCTCTGGATACTGTTGTCCTTTATATGTCAGCAGCACATAAAATCTGCATCTAGAAAAACCTGGTAAAGACAGTTTTGCTGACCTTATTCCTAAATATGACTTCAAAAAGTTTTTTTCTTCTGGCCTGAAGGCGGAGAGGAATTCTCACTCAGGTTTCAGTTCCGGTGCGTTTGAGTGCTGTGTGCATGTGTAATCATATGTCTGTGAAGGTTCTCAGTCATCCAGGTCATCGTAGTCAAAGGAGCTTGCAAAGAAAAGCGTCTGGACTTCTTTAAGTTGCTTGAAGACGTTTCACCTCTCATCCGAGAAGCTTCTTCAGTTCTAAGGTCAAATGGTGGAGAGTCCCAGATATAAACCTAGTGGGAGTTTCCCCCCACAGAGGGACAAAAGGACCCCCTGATGATCCTCTAATCACCTGAACACCTGTAATCATAATGCGCAAATGCTGACGGCGGGTCAACAGGGGGCGCACTCCGGACGACTGACTTCCCGTTCAGCTGGACTTTTATTTTGAAAGCCGAGTGTCGTCAGTGCGGACGCGTTTCTTTACGTTCTGTGTCATAGCTGTTTTAACGGAATGTGGAAAGTAGCGATGTCGGAGGAAGTTGCCAAGGCTTTGCAGTCGGTAGTGGAACGGGTGAACCAGGCGGCGGCCCGGCGGCCTAAGGTAACTGCAGGCCGGGATGCTCCGCTCGGTAGCGCCTCTGCCTTCGCTCCTCTCTTGGGGCCCTGAGAAAAACGTGCTGCGGCAGCACGAATCGTTATGTAAGGCTGCCAAACACTTCAACCTTTGAATGGGAGACAGTCGGGCTTGCGGCAGCACTTTCATAACACCCCATGTATGCAGCGTGACAGTGCGTGCGGGGAGCATGGTACACGCACTCTGGCTGTGTTTGCGTGTTAGTGGGTACAGATGATGTCTGTCAGTTACTCATTCCATTATTGTGTGACTGTTGCTCTATGGGAAACGTCCACGAGTGTAGATGTCCTTTTCAACAAGTGCCACTCCATTCAAATAGAATCAAGGTTGATGTAGGTCACAGCTGTGGGAACATGCTGTGAGCTGGTTTATCTAAATGATGAGGAGCAGCTGAACGATCTGTAGCAGGATGTGGATGCAGCCGGAAGCATCGTTGTTTTGGATGATGCTGACAGGGTTGACTCACTCCTCTGCAAAAGACCTCTGCATCACACGCTCCTCTGCTACGGATGAAAAACGAGCTTTTGTTGTCCTTCCTCAGACACTACCAGCTGTACCACCCCGCCTTGTAGCTGTCAGCAAGACAAAACCCCCAGAGATGGTTGTGGAGGCCTACAAGCAAGGGCAGCGGAACTTTGGGGAAAATTATGTGAGTGTGCAACACTGCCAGCGTCTCTGAATGACCTGTGAGGAGAATGAAGGTGGACAGTAATACAGATGATTGACGTTGCCCTTCATTTCTCCCTAGGTTAATGAACTTGTTGACAAAGCTTCAGATCCTCTGGTAGGTTCACATATTTTAGAAGATTGGATTGCTCCTCCCCCACCGCAGACCTTGACCTTGTTTCTTTTCCCTTCATCCAGATTTTAGAATTGTGTCCAGAAATCAAGTGGCATTTTATCGGCCATCTACAGAAGAATAATGTCAACAAACTTTTGGGTGAGTGACCATCAGCTCTCTCGTAGAGGTCACAGACCTGTGAAATGCTCTCTCAGAGTGCTTTGTGGTTATTCTAAGGTTTTATGTAAACCTAAAAAAAACCCTAAAAACATCTTGTCGTTAGCAGGTCTGAAAATTGGGTAGATAGAACCTCAGATGAACAACAACACGTCATTATCTGTGTCATTATCTGTTTTAACAAAACAGTGTTTGAAAAAAGTACACTCTTACTGCTACCATAGTAATTAAAGAGAGAACAGTCAGGTACTTCTAATCGTTACAAGCGCGTCTATAAAGGCAGACTTTTGTCAGTGTGATCATTTGGACCATTCGGGTGTGTGTGTTAACAAAGGGAACACAATCAGCAGTGATCTTTGAGAAGCAGTGTGGGAAGGGCCATGACGCTTGTTGGGTGTACTTTCTCTTTACCATGACTGTACCAAATTAAAGCTATTTCTAAATAAATAAGTGAATACATACAACAGCATGATGCCCTTTCATCCTCATTTTTGCAGGAGTGCAGAATCTCTTCCTTGTGGAGACAATCGACTCTGCAAAACTGGCTGACAGGGTCAACAGCTCGTGGCAGCGCATCAGAGGAGCCAGCACACAGAGGTTAAAGGTCATGGTTCAGGTCAACACCAGCGGAGAACAGAGTGAGTGCTTCTTGGGTGTGACGATCTGATCACCAACACTGCTGCTGTTACGTGAACAATGCGTCAAATGTTTGTCTTAGGCAAACATGGCTTGCCACCAGAGGACACGGTCAACACGGTGAAGCACATAGTGACACAGTGTCCCGCCCTGCACTTCTTAGGACTCATGACCATTGGGCGTTACGGCTATGACCTCACTCTGGGGCCCAACCCAGACTTCCAGGTACGAAACAATTACAGAACGGCTACATTTACCTGTGGTCATTTTTGTGTGCACCAAGAAAAATGAAAAACACTATTAATATTAGTGTCAGTCTGTAATCCTAACAATACACCTGCACAGATGCTGCTGAGTCGGAGACAGGAGGTGTGTGACAGTCTGAAGCTGCCTACAGAGGATGTAGAGCTGAGTATGGGTATGTCCACCGATTTTGAACATGCGGTGAGTGTCACTCCTGTATGGAAGCTGGTAACAGCAATTTAAAAAAACTTTGAGTGTCCAAATTCTGAAATCAAATTTCTTTTGATTGACTTTGATTAAAGTCAATGATCCTCTGTAGGTCATGAATGTCTGTGTCAAACCCCACATCAGCACATACATTGCATTTTCTAAAAGTTGAACTTTGAAAAAAATGTCAACATTGTACCGGCACTGCAGAAAAGATCAGTGGAGTCATCGTGAAAATCTGACTGTCTGCACAAACATTTGTCCTTGGAGACTCCTCAGCATTGTTGCTGATATTTGATTTGAATCTGCACATCCTATTTTCCTCCTTTTTAACTGTTGTTTTTGTTTTCTTTGCTTCCATATAAAGATTGAGGTGGGTTCCACCAATGTGCGAGTGGGTAGCATCATATTTGGCAACAGGGAGTATCCCAACAGTGCACTGAACACTCCTAATCCCAGTCCCGGTCCCAGTCCAGTTCCCAGTCCTGAGAAAACATCTAAGATGGTGTCAGAAGATGCCGCCAAGAAGATGCAGCACCTCACCGTGTCTGAACGCTAAGAAAGAGCCTCTCCTTCTTTGAAATACCTTTAATTAAAAAAGCAAAACAAAAGAGCTCTGCTCTTCACATGCAGAACGAACAGAGCGGTGAAGCAGATCTTTTCCACACAGCCTTGTGGAGCTAGGATTGAGGAATCCTGCATTAATTGTAAATTGTATTTGCCTAATCCTAACTTTTTGTGTGCCCTTGTTGCAGTTTAAGCATTAAAGTGGCATTTGGCACAGAGCTAGAAAACCTTTTTAACGTTGTTTAACAAGTGTTATTAACGTTTAGTGCCCTGACTTGCTCCTCATGGAAAACCTTTTAGTCAAGATAACTGGATACAAGACAAACTACTGAAAACACGACAACTTCAGTGTTTTTGCGTGAGGTTTCTTTGGATTCTTGTGCTGGTGTGTGATATTTTCTACTTTTCCACTCAAACACAGGACGGTGCTGAAATGTGTCTCCCACAGATCAGGACCTCCACACAGCACAGTGTACCACTCTTGTTGAACATATGAAACAAAGACCTGATTTAACAAATAAATCATTTATCCCTTTATAATGACACATTGTATTGTGTGTTTGATATTGTTCTGTTTGGTGTGCCAAAGGTGACAAAACTCTATTCTTGATATTAATAAACCTGAGCGTAAACCGAGGAAGTGTTTCTGTGTAGCAGTCTCGTGTCCGTGCTGTGGTGCTTTGGAGGTGAGTGTGAGGGTTAACCTATGCAAAGTGGTGATTTTGTTTCATCATCCAACTAGGTTTTCACACTGCAGCTCTGATGGTGTAGCAGTGGTTTATTTACCGGTATCACAAGATCTGTGTGTGTCTTGTTTTTTTTTTTCTGTCAACATGGGGAGAAAAAAGGTCAGTTTGTGATTTAATGTGTGGTTACTGTCCTACCGAGGCATTTCAGCATTGTTTGGTTTGGAATCTGGCTCACAGGGAAGCCGAAGCCAAGCAATAAATTTTATTGTTGAAACGATGATCATTTGCTGTGTATTTCTTCTCCTTAGGACAAAGTTCAGCCAAAGTTTTTTTTAATTATTTTTTTATTAAGCATGTGAAACAGGCACCCAGACCACAGTAAAAAACAGAATATTTCCAGAGTGGCAATTTAACATTTCTGAAAAGGCTTTAGTGCATATGATATCTATGGATCTGAAATTGGATCTAAACTTTGCATTTAAGAAATGATCAGAAATCTTAAAATGCTGTCCTGCTAATGTTTGACAGTCAACTTGGCTCTAGCCCAGCGCAAAAAAAAAAAGTCACAACTGTTCAATAAATAAGTTTTGTTGAAACACAATCTATTGTCAGGAATGATAAGTATAGAGGCTCTTGTAGTATTAAATCCTTGTAAAAGGCATTAGAAAAGGGCAGCCAGTATCTATACACACATTCCTGTTGTTAATATCATAAACTGGCTCTACAGATAGATCTGGTATACTACAAACAATACATTGTCTGTAGAAAGATGGATGGTAACACTTTAACATTTCATTTCACACAAACAAGCAGCATATAAAAAGTTTATAATATAACTGTAAGCCTATCTCGACGAGTGGTTTAATATTGGTATAGCTTCTGTAAAGCACCTGAAACAATATCAAAGCTGTAGCTCTAAAATATTCAATAGGTTAAATAAATATTAATATTATATATAGCTAAATATAGCTATAGAAACTCACAATGCATTGAATAAATCAACCTAATGTATATCACAGAATCATGATGTCATTGCTATTGTGGGCAAAGTATCGTGAGTTAATCTTTGAATACCTGTATGTGCGTATTTAACACAGTTCTGGAATAATTATAAACTATTTATTATGCTGCTTATAAAAACTAACTGGGACTCAAGCACTGAAATGGGCGCAAAAGGAACCAAAGGCATTATAGTATATGCAGAAATGTATGTACCTGATGAGTACAGCTGAAATCCTATGGTTAAAAGTTACAAAACCTGTGTGAAACTATGTGTAACACTAACAATGACCAAAATTAAATACTTATAACAACTTCAGCATTCTCATTTTTCTTCATATACAATCACAAAAATGCTTTTTCCTGCACTTTAAGATAGAAAAGTGACACGTCCAGTGTTGTCAGGATTACACAACAAACCGTTTTGAGTTACTGTGGAAAAACTAAAAGGAAAGGAAAAAGCCACATTACCCGGGACACAAAATTGTATCTGCAGATTTGCGCGTACCATTTATGGCTAATATTAGGACCAAGTGTCTCCTCCTACACCTTTTTATTTGGGTGAGCAAAGTCTGTCTGTTCGTGTCATTTCACACTCACTGATTCTGTTCACACTCACGTTACACCAGTTTCTTGGCCTCAAAGAAGCTCTTCAAATGCTTCATCTGCCAAATACCAGTGACGATGAGGATGACCGTCTGAGCAATGGACCACCAGAGAACACGCTGGTTGGTGCTCTCACTCGTCATGCGAAAGCGCTCCTCACGATACTGCAGAAGAAAACCAGCACATTCAAGTCACTGCAGTGGCTTCAACTCCAATACTTTTGACATAAAACAGAACTGTTTTTTTGTTTTTTGTTTTTTTAACTCACCCTCTGGTAGTTTTGCTCCTTCTGGATCTGTTCGACTTGGTCCAGCAGCTGTCGGACTCGTAGCTGCAGCTCGGTGAGTTTGTCCTTAGCTGCAATTTCAGGATAGTTGTTGGTATGTTCTCCCACTTGAATGTCCAGATGCACTCTCTACAGTAACAGACACTTCAGATTTACATGCTTTTCAGTCAACTTCAGATCAAGAACTTCCTTAGAATAAGCTAAATTGATGTAATAACTAAAACCTTAAGTTTTATTTGGGAAATGGTGACTACAGCTGCACACTGTCCTTATGAAATAATTTTTTTTAGACCTTAAAATTTCACTCCTGTCTGGAAGCAAAAAGTAGCAGGTTCTCCTTCCACAGAAGAAGAACGGTGACATCAGTGGGATTCTTTGGTGCTAATGTATCCTTGATTATGATGTTTTCACTCAAAGCATAGTTGAAATGCTAGCACCAAGGTCCCAAGAATATTGAACTGTAGTGGTTTAAGAACCTCAGCTAATCTGGTGGAAAAACCTTCCAAGAGGCTCGAACAAAAGGATCAGAATGGGCTTAGGTCATTTCCAGCATAGCTCAACACACCCATATTTATTGGTGTTATTTTACAGCACATACATTATGTTCTCTGGATACTGGCATATTGTTTGCTACTTCAGTCTGAGGTGAAGTGCAGACTAGTGCCAGACCAGACAGAAAGTTAAGAGGCTTTTTTTTTTATATATAAAGATTAAAACAAACAATATCAGTGAAAACTATTTTTAGGCTCACTGATGTGCCCAAAAAAATATATTAACATAAGTCTAAGATGTATGATAATAAATAGGTAATGCAAAAATACAAAAAGAGACAATACTTTTAATTTATCTAAGGTAGCACTGTGCTTCTAGTGACTTGACTCTACATTTTCGCTGCTGATCAAACAGCATTAAGGTAGGCTGCCACTGTTGTTGTTTCATTGCGTCTAGGGTTAACTCACCTTCAATCTCAGACTTTCTGAGAAATTTAAGTTTTTAGACACAAGTAAATGTGTTATCTAACACTGTTGTGAAGGTCAAATACTTCAAAAAGGGTGACAGAGTTTTCATTTAAGAAATCTGGTCAACTTTGTATTACAAGGATTATTTATCAGTTATAAACTTACCCTTATGTAGCTAGGGTTTTACCATTACTTTAAAGAACCTAATTCATCAACTAATTTTTTTAAATCACTTAATTTAATAATTTAAATTTAATTATCTGCGGGTATTCAGCTCATTTTTTAGCTACTTTTAGCTAGCAATTTCAAACTTACCAACTGAAATTGTTCAAATATAAACAATCTCTACCCATTATAACCATTTATACACTAAACTTGACTAAGATCACACTTTTTGATTCTTTTTCTTTTTTAATGATTTATCAACTACTTTTAGGTCGTTTATTTTTTAAACCACTCATTTAATGTACAGTTTAAACATTTATACACTGCTTAACATTACTCAGTTATTGTTAAACAAATGCTAATTATTTTTAATGGAAAGCAGTCTGGCAGTTCAAAAAGTCAGACGTGCACTTCTGCACATACCAGTTTTCCACCTGCAAACAGAGCCATCTTGGTAGAGTTTGAATGCAAACAGATCTGATGCTCTCCAGGTGTATGGGAAGTAAATGTGAACCGTCCATCCGATCCATACTGACGCGAAAGGATGATCTGGGGAATGTGTAAGCAGCAAATGCTTAGATTTAACTTATATGTTCCATGTGCAGGTGTGTATTAGAAAACTATGGAGCTAAATTGGTATCAAAAGGGTTGCAAAAGTGTATGTTATAACCAAGAAGGGTAAACTAAGATTTACAAATGTGTGTTCGTACTCACAACTGCAGGCTCCAATCCATACAGGTGTACAAAACTTTTTGAATGAAGGTAAAACTCTTTTGCAAATGCAAATATCCAAGCCTGAATAAATACTCATCATTTATGCACATTTTTAAGTTCAGCTACATAAATTTTATGATTTTTGCTTTCAAAAGGCTTCCTCCACAGATCAATTCAGAGATGCACAGAGGGGTTTGGGACTCTTTTCACAGTGTCAGCTTAGAACAGATCCACAAACGTAAGCAGCGTTCAAGTCCTCTTAAAAAACTGGAAGATCTGGCAATCTTGTGGATTTCTGCATTACTTCAAACAACACAGACATTTTTGTTTTCTAAATACACAAAAAAAACCTGTCACCCTTCACTTACAGATCCTATACAGTAATATACAGTGGGGCAAAAAAGTATTTAGTCAGCCACCGATTGTGCAAGTTCCCCCACTTAAAATGATGACAGAGGTCAGTAATTTGCACCAGA